CTTGGTAGTGGTGTTAATTCTCCTCTTTCTGATCTTCCAGGGCATTTAAAGCAGCATGGCATAAATTTGTCTCCCCCTTTCTTCCCTTTCTCCCCTCAAAATCTAGGGCAGAATGTTCTACTTCAGTATCACCATTTTATAATGTCAGGACCAAGAGACAGCTGGATGTTCTCCTTAAGAAAGCTGACAACTACATCAGGTCCCCTGAAGGGTGGTAGCTTGACTTAAGTCCCCATTTGGGAGTCAAGTACTTCTCTGGTTCTTTAGACTCAACCACCTGCTTGCCTCCCGTTATTATTTCCACAATTCTGTTACAGACAGTGGCTGCCATTTCCTTGCATGGTATTGTCTTGGATACATCAGTATCCATTTTTTTTAGATAATTCTCTCCAAAACATTAGTTTTACTCAAGGCAGAAATAGTTTCTTCTTCCTAGAGAAATAAGGTGAAAGTAATTTGGCTTGATTAGAGAGAGGGACTCAGAGTAGTTTTCATTCACTTCAGAGCTCAGTTCATATCCAGTCATACTTCATCTTCATAGCCTTCATACTTTCCCATGGCTTCTGAGACAGAATCTGTGAGGTGGGGTTTCCTGCTGGCTGCCTCTCAGATTCCTACCTGTGATAGGACCGCAAAAGCACTTTTCTGCTGACACAACTACAGGGTGCTGAGATGAAGCATCACCACAGTGCCTCAGTTCCTGAGGAGCTGCACTGCGCAGCTCTAGCAAGCTGACATCGCTCCCTGGCTTTGCAGGTGTGCTCATGAGGCACCATATTCAGTGCCAAGGCTAAGATCTTGTATTTTGCAACATTGCACAGGTTTGTTAAAGGAAGTGAAGTGACAAGTGCTATGACTTTGGTGCTGTAAAATCACTGTGGCTTCTTTTAACAGCTCTCTCCTATTAGTTTGGCTTATGTAGGTGATTTGCAAGCCTAAAAGCTGTTGTTGCCCTTTTCCCACCTTGGATTATTTTCATTAAAGAAGTAATCTATGATAGCCAATTTATTTTTTTTTGACAGTTTGGCAGCTTTAGGCATGTTTGTTAATGTCTTTGCTTACAAAGCTAAGCCCAGCAGTCTTATCAAACACCAGCTTATCCAATATCATTGCAGTTTTCTTGTCATTGTTGTGCTTTGGGATTTTTTGTTTTTGTTTTTCTGACAATATCTTTCTTTTCCTTCTGGATATTGCTTTTGCCCATTTTCAGGCCTCTTAATTTATAATTCCATAAAACTGTTTCATCCTCATTGTCTGCACCTTGGGTTGCTCCTATTACTTGACTATTCAGACTCTAAGGAAAGGTTTAATTCTTCTTTATTTCAAAGGGAGAGCAGCTTCCATGCCTATCAGTATGCCATAGACTCTCACCTCTGCCAGAGCAATGGGTAGAAATTGCTAGTAGTAATGTTTGTGAAAGCTTTTGAAATTAAATCATTAAACAGGAAGGTCACTGAACTTCCTGAACAATTCACAGTCAAAAAAAAATCAATTAACTAATTAATGAGACTTTTTACTTTGCCTCTCAAAGAATTTTAGGATCTTTATTCAATCCAGTCACAAATGTTAGCCAACTGTGGTTTACTTCACTACGTGAAAGTATTTCATAAGCATCTGTACTTGATGTGCTTTGACCCAAACATTAACAGAGGTGACAGTGCTTCTGAAGAGGGAAAAGACCAGCAGAAATACTATTTTAATATAAAACCTCAGAGTTGTCTTTGTTGACCATGACTATGAAAACACCATGGGGTCTGGAAAGGACCTAAAAAGCTGATCCAGGCCATCCTCCTAAGATGCATGCCAGATTCAACTTGGCTTAGATTGTTCCAGCATATTTAATTAATCTGTGATGAAGAATCTCTGATGTTGTAGACCTCACATGACCACAGCAACCTCCCCAGGCAGTCTGTTCTTCTGTTCTCACAGCTAGAAAGTCCCGGACTTTCTTGCTGGGTCCTCCCCCCCCAATGTCTTCTTCAAACTGGTTTATTATAAGAGGAAAGGTAGAAGAAATAAATGAAGTTATTTGGGATGTAGAAAAGAAGCACTTTGTATGGATGCAGCTCTTTCTGGCAAAGCTGAGGTTCTGCAGGTACCACTTCAGTCTGAGAGACTGGAATCATCTCTTCCAGCCAAAAGCACACGTGTCCAAATTGACATCGCTGACGCAACAGAACACCGTCAGAACATATCTGACATAAGCACACACTCATGTAGTGTCAAGGCGCTGCATTCTTTGATCCACACAGACATTAACCTGCGTTTAATCTGGGTTAATGTCCCAGAGGAAGTGAGAGTGGCAGGTTCCTTTTGCTGGACTCCCTTTACTGTACCAATGGCCTAGGAATTTACTGGATGATGTTTCAAGTAAATATGTGTTCATAAGGTAAATATTGGTAAAATGATGAAGCGTGCATGATATTACTGGCCACAGACAATGAGGCAGAAGTAAATTGTATTCACGTATAAATTTCTCAAAAGGATATTCCTGGCCAGGCCCAGATCCATCAGGATTTCAGAAGTCTGGAGTTATTCTTCCTACTGTGAATGCTACATTTCCTTCTTCTTTTCAGCTCTGGCTGAAGGGATTCTTAGAGAGTGCTTTTGAAGGATGTGTGGTTATACACCATATAGATGTCAGAAATAGGGCTTTTCAATGCACAGTTCTTGTCACTGTAGTTCAGTGGCTGCCATAAATCTTCATATCTGGATATACCAGTGCCCGCATCTGTTTGCCTTGTGTAATAACACTGGGTTTCAGAACACATGCCTGCATCTCAGAACAGCTTGCTCATCTTACTCTTTCACCATGCCCATTATACATGAGAAGAAGCATCCCCTCTTCTGTGGGTTCTGAAGCACTTTGTATCTGCATATCTTCACGTCAGAAAGCCAATACCAAAGGAAAATAGGGTGATGCCCTTTACACCGACATCAAGGGTACATATTTGTCTTTCTCACATTAGAAACAGTTGAACTCATTAAGTCGTGGTAATGTGCATTTACAGCAATTTTACAACTGAAATACGCCCATGTGTTCTGAGCTCTCATGTTGCAGCCTCAGCATGTCCACTAGTCCACATTTTCCTGTTTGCTTTTTAGAAGCTGACAACATTTATAAAGATGCTAATGCTTTTAAGAGCTCCCAGTCTTTGAATATTCACCTGGACCTGCCTTGAGGTTATGATTCAGAGGTTTCTGAAGCTATATTGATGGAAAAAAAAAATCATGGGTCTCTACCTTAGGGTATACATTAGTGCCACAACAGAGATCTGGAAACTGACAGTTCAACATCTGGAACAATATCTCTACCAAACCCTAGGAAACTGTGTTTAAACCACATTTAGCCACTTAAAAACCATAAGAGTTCTGTTGACTTGTAGAGCTCAACAACCACAACAATCTCTCAATGGTCTATTTTTAAGTGTTTTGACATATCTTCAGGTGGTTTAAGTAAGCATCAATGAAAAAAAGCTTTTTAAAAATTCTAGAGAATTTGGATACACGTCAATGAAGTTTTTAAAAAAAAAAATTCAGACAGATCAATTTTGTTGGTCCTAGCATTGCATCCAATGAGCATTCAATCCTTCTAAAGATAGTGTAGATTTGATTTTTTTTAGAGTATTTTTTATTTATGTTTTAGAGTGTTGGACTGTTCTCGATAAGTGGAAGTTATACTTTCCAGGTATTACTGTCATCATGGTACCATTTACATCTATGATCTCAGTGTAGGGCTGTCTTTGCTAAGATGCTTCATTATATTAAGGCAGAAAGCAGCCTTCTCTAGCAGTGCTTTCTTTTATCTTCAGCTTCAGGATGTTAGCTGAGTTCTTCTTAAGACACCCCCAAAATACTCAAACTAAAACAAAAATATTGCAGACCTTCTTGTAATTTATTTCTGAGAGCTTTTTTAAGATGAATTTATGGGTTATTCACTGGATTATCCAGTGGTCAGCTTCCCCAGTGTGCTTGATAACGGTATCACAAAGTAGCCTACTTCACAGGATCATTTCTAAATTTTGCTGTATTTTCAAGAAGACCAGGTAGTTTGCACATTTTTTTCTTCTAACAGTTGCTACTGGGGAAGCAAGTGAGAACTCATCAGGCCATCAGTACACAGTGAACCCACAGATGTGATATTAGATTATGTAAAAATCATTCCTGTTATGTAGTGATGCTGTAACATTCACTCTCTGTATCATATTCATTTCAGGATTTCAGAAAAATACTCTGGTGCTGTTAATTAAGATTGCTTAAGTACAATGATCACCTAAGTACAACGATCATGAGCTGTGGTTATTTCTTCAGGTGGAGCCAGTTCTGATTCCTTTAATCATGTAAAGATACTCCTAACTATAGCAAGACCACAGTCAAAAGCTTTCTGAAGAACTAGATAACATATGTGTAACACATATGTATAACCAATGAGTATAAAGAGTTGTAATTATGAAATAAACCAAAGAGTTTGGCTAACCAGGTTATAATAACAAAAAGAGAATAGACAGAATACTTACCTGTACCCTGGGCTCACTGCAAAACTCCAGAGGAGGGATCTTCAGAAGAGACCCTTTCCCACTCATAGCCAGCTCTTAAATGACTCTAGGAGAGGTGCAGCCAGGCTCCACCCCTTCCAGCAGCACAGGTGAATTGCCTTCACCTGTGCTCCCATGGCTGACCCATGGCTCGCCTCAGGTGGTCAATCAGAGGTTCAGGCTGTGATTTAGCAGTTCCCATGTTAACAAAGTAGGCTTTGCATCACTGTTGCTTGATTGGTAGGATCTCCAAGCGTTAACATGTCATCCTAGTGAAATCTGTTTTGTTCTCTTGCCACCTGTTGGTTACTACTGAAGTGTGAGAGACAAACATTCTTCTGAGAAACAACCAAGTGCATGGCTCATCCAGAAACCATTAATTAAAAAAAAAAAAAATGAAGAGGAAAAAAATAATAATACACAAAATGCTAAAGTATTTTATCTTTTTGTTTGTTTTATTTTCAGTCTTGGAATTGAACCAAGTGATTATTCCCACTTACGGAACCGTGCCAGATCAGCAAAACCTTCATGCTCCAGAATGGGTGGGTACTTCTTTACTTTAACTATGGCTACCAATAGTTTTTTTCTTGTGTAGATCTTCAACAACGGATTCCAACAGAATGGCAGCCACTGCATTTGCAGCACAGCCACTTCATTTGTCTGACTATGCTATATCTCTGCTTCCCTAAAGATACCTGAAGTCTTTGGTTCAGGTGTAAGGATGCAAGTTGACACAGTCACTGAACACAATTAAAAGTGACAAGTCACTAGATCAGTTACAAATATATATTCACTATAAACCGATAGACACACATGCACTTCCTTTCTGTATGTGGTTTTGTGTCTGCTTGTACAGGATTTTTGTGTGCTTGTACAAGGATAAATATATGAATACACCCTACATATAAACATACATACTCTATAAATTCAGACACGCCCAGGTATTAGTTGGCCAATGTGAGTTCAGGGCTTTTCTCAGAGAAAGGTGGGAAACAGCAGAGACTGAGGTGTCAAAAAAGGAAAAAGAACTGGAGGTCTCTATTCCCTGTATCCAGGGAATTTCCCCAACAAACCTAATGTTTTTTACAGCTATCAGGCTTTTGGCCCTAGCTGAAGATCTCCTGCATCAGATCCCATTTATCTTTAAGGTCTGGCCAGCTGACCCTAACAAGCCCTGCCACTGGGTGTGCCATGGCACATGCTTTGCCAACCTGATGCCCATGTGGCATGCTGATGAGTCCAATTTCATTTTTTACCCTAGTGTGATACTAGTACAGTTTGCAGTTGCACAGGGGTATCGATATAAGCCTGGACTCAAAAAGCTGTAAAATCATATAGCTATTATAAAGCTATTGGAGTTACTCCATAGAAACAAAAAGTCTGCTCTGCGTTTCATTATTGTAACGGCAGAAGTCATTGTCATTGGATTTAAGTGTCCATAGGTTGTTGTATCTATTCAGGCTACCTTTACAAGTGGATCAGTGTTAAAGAAGGACAAAGATTAAAAAAACAGGTTAAACATTGCCAAGAATTGCTTGCTGGACTAATTAATTTTGAGCACCTAAGTCATGGTTTTCACATATGGGAATACATTCAAGAAATTGCTGCAATGGTGGCATAAAGTAATGACATCTAGAGCTGGTTCTCAATCAGCCCTGTCCACGATATTGACATGTAAACTATTGCCTATTTACAAGTAACTGAAACAACCTGTGCCTTTTTCTCATCATCATCAACTAAATAGTATTCAAGGAATGACAGCCTGCTACTGCTGCTACCAGCTATCCGAGTAGCTTGCAGAGGAAGACTGTCATATGGGTGTGGAGAAGCAGGTCCTGCTGATGTCTCTGTATATGAGGAAATATTTTGTTTTCTTCATATATCTAAAACAGCATACAATACAAGGGTCATGGTGGTTTTTCTTCTGCCTCTGATGTAGGAAACAAATACCAAATCCACTAGGAATGAAGTATCCTTCTGTGAGCTAACCCTGCCTCTGAGCACCCTTACAGGGTCTTCTTCATTTGCTGCTGCTCCAGGCTCTGGAAAAAAAATATTTAATCTTTCTCTGAAGGAGAAAATGGAATCAAGGCCTTCCATTTCCTAACTGAGGGCCCTGACTAGGATGTTATAAAAATCCATCTTTTTTTTTATGTCTTTATATGAAATGAGCTAGCATCAGAAAAAACAATGCCATGTACCTTGTGGTTAGAAAATTCTTCATGAGCAGTTGAAGTATAATTTATTTTTATTTCTGCTAAAAATCAACTGCCCAAATGAATTTTATTTTTTGTTCCTCATGTGGACCAGCACTTGTCATTTCTGTTCAGTTTTAGCAGAATCTTTTCCAACTGCTCATTCCATGTTAGAACCTCCAGGGTAGTTTCAGTGACCAAAACAGTTGAATAAAATTCAGTTCCACCAAGCCTGCCTATGAGGTAGATGTGTGCTGCTTCATACAGGTGTAGCTAGAAAGGGAAACTAAATAGGAAACCTAGCCTTAAACTAGTGTATAGAAGGAAGTGCTCTACCGTTGTCTAAACTTGCATTATGCTTTCTAGCTGGGTGTACTTTGTGAAATTGATCCAGCAAGGTTGTACACGTGGCAGAAAATTGCAGGTAAAGTATTAGAGGTCTTATGTAGAGAAACTGAATGTGGTCCCAGGTAATTGGATTTTACCCTGATTGTACTATAGAGCTTTTGTGCAATAGATTGTGTACATCCAGCTTTTTGTCTATTTGCAGAGTGTCAAAGAGGAGTGCCTGTGGTTTGTTTGCATTAGCACAGGGTGGTCATACACAGGCCTGAGGGTATTGCTCTCCAAAGAGAGAGCCTTTGCCAAGCGCTCTAGAAAACCCAGGCAGCAGTTTTGACTAAGATTCCTCAGTGATCCATGCAATCACTGTTAAATTGGGATTATACTGTTGCTTTCTCTCCAGAGAGATCTTGTGAAAATTGATTTCTTAACACTTGCATGAGTAGAATAATGAGATTATAGAAGAAGAATACCACGGAAGTAGAAGGAAATCTCCATTTTAGGTTTTCAGACTACTTAGATGAAGTATAACAAAAAAGGCATTGAATAAAGAAGACAGCAAAGAGTGTAATAGAAAGTGGCTTTGCAGCCAAACCATGTGTCATACAAAGTATATAAGGAAGACAAGAGTTTCACAGACAGCCTTCATCTAAACTCTTCCCAGCTCTCAGTTGCTTTGCTTTGCAGCCTTAGCTGCTCCAAAGATGGATAGCTTAAATTTGGATTTGATAGTAAACACAGTTCTGAGATTCTGCATCTGCAGAGGGAATTCTTTGCCATTAACTGCTTTCCAGCTGTGTTAATGCTATTCCTCAGACATGATTTCTGCAGCAGAAAGGCTTCAGCGAATTCTGATCAAGTGCTGGATATTCCTGCATCCAGAAAAGGAGAGGTGCTGAAAAATGTGTTTTCATGGGAGTACTGTCTTTGCCTTCATTAGAAGTGAGGGCACATGGTATGTCTGTAGGAGGAGCTGGGGTTCTTCCCGCAGCCAGCAGCTGTATGTGGGCTCAGGCAGAAAGTCCAGTGGGTGTCTCATCAGAAGTTAGCTCTGGAGGTGAGACTTCCCAGTTTCTTTGCATGTTAAGGTACTGAGAATAACATCTTCTGATTCAGAACTTGCTAACAATCTCATTGTTACTAAAAACAGAACTGAAACAGTCCTTTGTTGTTATTAGCAAATATGAGTCATGAGAGAGAATGCTGAATGCACAGCAGTTATTGCCCTATGGAGGCACATACCAACATTAGTTTCTCCTGGTTTGCAAATGAACTTACAACCTGCAGAAGGAAATGCTTACATTGGTCTTGGTGTCAGAGCAGAGGTCTCTAGTGGTCACTCAGAATAGAAAGTAATTAAACATCATATTATGTAGCTGTGATAATAATTAAGACTTCACATTTCTGTAACATTTTCACCAGAGCAGCTCAAAGCACTGTACAAATAATGGTGTTTCACGACATCCGGGTCATATTACGCATTTCCTTTTTAAATATTTGATTGGAAGAGAAGTATCCTTAGGTCTGCGGAGAGAGAAGGGCAGCACCATAACATTTCCACCAAGGCCAAACCCACTACTACTATGCAGGTTGTGGTACCCTGCCAGGTGGGTTGTGTGCTGGAGGGCTCTCTGTTGGGGCTGGATTACACTGGTCATGCTCTGCTCACCTGTCCCAGCACTGGTTTACCTCCTGCCGTTCTGCAAGAACCTGTTTGGAGATACTCTGAAAACTATGTGATATTGCAGACAAGTGGTTTAACCCTCCAGTAATGATTGGTTTGCCACTACTGACAATCATACCAAAAGCTCCTGTGGGCTAAATAAAGGACTTCTTTTATCCTTCCAATTAGTTACGCCATTCCTGCAGAAACTCTTTTTTTTTTAAAGAAACAAACAAACAATTTACAATACTGTTATAATACAATACTTGTTCAGGATGTAGTAAGTAATAAAAAATATCTGCAGTTCCCATTCCTCCTTTTTTTTCAGTATCTAAAGGGGAGCTTGAGGAAAGAAGGGGATGGACTTTTTAACAGGGTCTGTGATGACAGAACAAGGGGAAATGGCTTCAAGCTTAAAGAGAGTAGATTTAGGTTGGATATAAGGAAAAAGTCTTCTACAGGTGAGGCACTGGAACAGGTTGCTTAGTTATGTGGTTGAAGCCCAGTCCCTGGAGACTTCGAGGGCAAGGCTGGATCAGGCTCTGGGCAACCTGATCTAGCTGTGCATGTCCCTGTTCATTGCAGGGGAGTTGGACTAGATGGCCTTCAGAGGCCCCTTCCAGCTCCAAGGATTCTATGATTTTTCTTCACTCCTGTCACTGTTGCTGCTGAGGAGAGTTCAGGTCTCCTTTATCGCCTGCTGCAGCATCACACGTAGCTATGGCTACAGGATCAGGCTCAGGAGTCATGCACAGTAGTTCCCTTGGGCACAGCCATCCTGGTTACATGAGAGGAATCCTGAGAAGCTCAGGGGCTTAGGGCCAGTTTCACCACTGGGGTTTGGTCACTCAGTCGGGGGCACCAAGCTGCTGGGAGCCAGGGGCAAAGAGCTCTGTGCTGGGTACACGTGTGGAAGGGCTGGCTGGGCTGGGCCTGGGCCTTCATGGCTCTTGCACATCTGTCAGCACGGTGCCTCACAGCCCTGAGTCCCACTGTGCTGCCTGGGAGCACCAAGGCACCACGGCTGTGAAACAGCACTTTTGATGTTGTATGCCATGTCTGCACTATACACATTTCTGAGCTTTTTGTTGCTGCAGACCACCACCAGACTTATCCCTTGGAGCCATTATCCACTGATCCGTATCCTGATGTGACCTGAAGCACAGAGGTGCACTTCTTTCACTTTGCTGGCCTCACTGCTTCTTGGCTGGCTCCCACAAAGGTGCCCAAAGTGTTTCAGATTCCTCCTGCTAATAAAGCAGAGAGTGGCTCCCCATCTCTCTGGTGGCAATGATTGTACAGCACTCTGCAAAGTACTAAATATAATCACTACTTTACAGCTAAAGGTATTTTTTGTGTATTTATTAATGTTGTTAATCAGTATTAACTTGCTATCCGCTTGAGCATCATTATAACGTTAAGGTGCACAGCCAGTTGTCTCCCTTAGTACTTAAAATGATTAGACTGAGGCTAAGAAAATTAGAAAGTGCTGTAAATAGACCCCATGTTTGCTTCTTCCAGAACAGAATTATCAATGGACCTGTTCATTATTTTCAGTGATAATGTGCTGCTGATACTTAAGCAAAATTATGGATTGGAATTTCAGCCTCCATTAACTTGTGTGTGTGTGTGCACAAAGTTGTTTGCATTTGCCTGATAATAACATTTGCAATATTGTCAAATAATATTACATATTAAAAAAAAAACAACCCACTGTCTCCAAGGAATTATTAACTTCAGTGTATACACATCTTTTTGGTTTCCAGCCCTGTTTCTCCCCCAGCAATCACGTTGAATAATATATGATTTTTCATTACAAACTATCCAGTAGGGATTATAAGACATACCACATGTCTGAGTTAATATAACTGTCAGAACTTTAACCATTGCATTCCCTTTTGTGTTTTACTTCTTACTTTTTGTTGCACAGCATCAAATGTTATGTTACAATTGACTTGTATGGGTCTTAATCTTATCTCTTAATTATTCAGGCTTAACGAGAATTCTTTATTACTTTGTTGTTATATAAAACATTTATTGATAGATCAATAGGACAATGGAAATTACGTCAAAGAAGTTAGCTTCATGGGTATGAACTCTTGTCTGTCCAGGTTCGTGCAATCCAGTGTTGATTAATTTTCATCTATATTCAATAATATATACCTATAGTTTGATATGTGTAGAAAAGTATGTTTGTAGTAACATGCATAAACTTATGTCCACAAAAACATGTATGTAAGCAAATTCATGGGTCAGGATACTGATTACTGGGAATTCTCTGCAGCTGGTTATTGCCATTCTAGTTAAGCCAGTTATTGCTGAGTTACACACTGGCTGTAAATGCGTGACTGTGACTAGGTTTAAAGGTAAAATTCTCAGTGAAGTTACACAATCACAAATTAGGAAAAACTTGATCTTACACTTGCTGTTTGCTATTTTGTTCTTTTCTATCCTGTGCACAGGTCATATAGGAAGAATAACTTAAAAATGTAACAAAAGACTTGAAATCTCTTAATTCTGCTATGCTTTGAAGTGCTTAAATTTTACTGCTAAACTGTTCCTCTTTAGACAAAAGTTACAAGGCTGCTGTTTCTAAAATTTAATTGAACCTCTTCCTCTTTTGAATATCCTTCTGGTTTAGACACTGGTAACACTTCCCCTTGTTATTCACTGTCGTTAAGTCTGGGCTCTGTATTTCCAGCATTGCAACACAGGGCAATTTCAGCCAGGAACAGAGCCTGCTGGGTTCCCAGCAGAGCACAGGGGCTGCAGGGGATGTGCTGGGGTCCAGCGGGCCTTGGCCCTTAGTGCCTTTTTAACTTGTGATTTTTTTACCTTGTGATTTTTTTACCTCAGTTCATACCACATTCAGACACAGTGGTGCCTGGGCTCCATATGCGCCCAGTGCAGCACATAGGTTTCTCTCAGGCTCATCACTGTCCAGCCCCATTTGCAGCCCTGAAGCTAGTGAGAAGCATCAGCACTGCAGCCAAGCAAGTTAGCAGCTCAGTGTGTAACAAGGGCATCAGGACACCATGCTTTTCCTGACTGCGTCTCTCCTGAGCACAGCATGTGGTGCTCATGCTCAGAATACAAAAAGTGGCAGATAACTCCAGATGGGAGGCATACAGAAGTGTCCACCTGGGAACTACATGTCTTAAGCTCTCACTGCAGAGAGATCTAGAGTGTCTAAGCATTGGTATGCAGTGCTACTTTACATTGCCTTTACATTAGCCTATAGTCACCAGAGTCTAAGGGATAATTCTGCTGATCAAACATTACAATCTATATTGTTCTGTTATTATGAATTATTTGTAGATACTGGGTACTGAGTTAACTGTTTTATAATTGCCCAGTTGTAATTTATTTTTAATGGGAATGCTTAGAGAAGTTTTCAAGGCAGACTTTCTGATAAAGGCATCTGCCCTGTTTTGGACATGGTCTGTTTCCTTTGTCAGCCCCAGCAGACAGACATAAAGAAAGTTCATAGAATCATAGAATTATTAAAGTTGGAAAAGAGCTCTAAGATCATGAAGTCCAGCCATCCACCTATCACCAACACTGCCCAATAAGTCATGTTCAGAACTACTACATCTACCTTAAACACCTCCAGGGACCGTGACACCACCATTTCTCTATGTGGCCTGTTCCAATGCCTAACCACTCTTTCTTCTTGGTTGTATTTTAAATGAGACTCAAAATGGTAGCAGCAGGCTAAATGTTTCACCTTTGCAGGTCCTTAGTTGGAAGAAGTCTCACAAGAATCAAGCCTATTTGCTCAATGGGACTACTCCAACTCCAGTTCTCATGAATATAAAAATCTGCACTTGTGACTTGCTTTGGGCAGCAGAGATGCTCAGTGCTGTTGTGGTCCATCGATGCCAACTGAAAGTTTAAACCATTTCTCCTAAACCATTACAGTGTGCATCTGTCTGTTGATTTGGTGGCTGTGTATGGATGTTTCCTGAGTGCCAGGCTAGGCTGTGAAACCAATAATGACATATCTGTACGTAGTCACAAACCTCTTAGCAGATGTAGGATTCAAAGTGAACTGTTCTAACCAAAACCTGCTCAAACTGATGAAGCAAATAAGTTAACAGAACGTCTTTGTATATACAACAAAAAGTACTGAATCTAAACTCTGCTCAGTTCATTTAAAATACATAGTTTTTGTCTAAATTATGGAGAGATGCATTTTGGTCAACTGTTTTGACTAAGCCGATAAACAGTAACAAAATAGTCTGCAGAGAGAGGTCTAGAATAAAACTCGTAGGAAAATGTTATTTGTTAAAACTGCTGTGTTGTTGCTAAAATGCCATCTGCCCCTTGGAACTGGGGTGCTCCTGACAGACTATTGCCATTCTTGCTGATTTTACCAGCATCAAAAAGAAAACAATTCCAGCTGCAGGTGGGGAGTCTCTGAGATCACAACCACATTTCACTGGTTTTTATCTATTTACCAAGCATCCCAGAGTTCCCAAAACTGTATTCTGGGTGGCTGATATGCCTGGCCCCCCTCATGCAGTTTGGTCTTCATTGACAGGGAGATTTCAGAGAGATTAAATCTGAGAATCTTTTCAGTGAACCCAAAGGCACGGTATGTTCTTGAAATTATTTTGGGGCACTTTGCTGGTCTGAACCTACCCAAGGCCACCCTGCATGTCCAGCCCTCTGGAAGGGCTTCTCAGCAGTTCTGCATGGAAGTCTTGCTGGCTTTTGAGCTTTTGCCATCTCTTATGCAATGCTGAGACCTCTTTCAGACATTGATATCCACTAACATTAGTGGCTCTACCCATATTAATATTATGTATGGATCTGGCCAAGTATCTTGGAGTTTACTACTCACTGCATAACATGACAATACTGATAACATTACAATTATATATTAACTGAGAGGAGGGGTTGTAATGTGTGATAGTGCCCACAGAGTACTCAGACTAGAAGACCATTACTACAAAAACATTCTTGAACATTCAGGTTACACCGTCATCAATGTGTCTGTATTGTTACACACACAAAATAACACATGAAGATGTTATTAGTGGATATGACAATCTTTTCTACTTTTCTCTGGGGACTAGATAATGGCTTATGGATATATTAATCCTTTTGATTTGTGCATATATTTTAACATGATGGATGTGTGGTATTCAACAGTGTGTTCTGCTTGCTGAGATTTTGTTAATAAAAAGGGAAAAATAAATTCACATAGGATATGTCCATTTTGAGAGCACATCTGCAGCCTGACCATGTTCTTTATTCTCTGGGCAATTATTGTTTTGAATGTTAGCATGCATTAAGTGACTGGTTTTTTGTTGTTGTTTTTTTAATTGCAGAGATGTGTAAACTTCCAGCAGGTACAGGGACAGATGGGAACACGCTAATTCTGAGACTCCCATCAGGAGACAACATATCTTATAGACAGAATATTGTATCATGACAGCATGCAAACTACTTGACAGATGCGTTATTCAGATGTAGTGCTACATCCCACTGCTCCTCCCATTGCCAAAAGCTAGTATACCATTTTAAAGAAGAAAATTAGGTTAAAGTTGTGCTGTCTTTATATCATGAAGAGATCCGTCAAAGTCATCAGGATGATTCTTTTTTTTATCCAATTTACTCAGTGCTCGTTGTGATTCACTTTGGTCTTCTTACTATATTTGTCTAATACACAATAATGAATAATGAATTTCTCTTTTCACTGAAATACTGTGTAGCAGGAAGTAAGTAAGGAAGGGATTAGTAAAATTCTTCAAATTACCCTAACCTATCTGCCTTACAGGCTGATTTTGATAATAAGCCTGATTCCTTGTTCTTCAGCGATGGGCAGCGAAGAATTGACTTTGTTTTGGTATATGAAGATGAAACAAAAATGACTCATAAGAGGAGTAATCATAAAAAACAAAAGGTAAGTTATTTTTTTTATAAATCTGAACATCTTTTGGGTGCTAGAGCAGTGAACATAAAGGACAGTGCCCGTAACCGGAACACCAATTGCATTGCCCTGTTGTGGGAGTACTCCTGTGAGACAAGCTTATAAACCAAGCACTGTGTCCATCAGCATGTGCTGGGGGACCTCAGAGCATGCTCCTTGGAGGGAACCCTTCAGGAGGTTTGAGCAGAAAAATACTGGATTAGAGATAGACACCAAGATCTTCAGACTAGGGCAGTTTTCTTTTTCTATATCTATGGCGCTTGAATTAGGCCTCCAGTGGACTATGGTATTAAAATCAGGTTAAGCAAGGAAGAACCAGCTGACTGAGTGCTCCAAATGACAGTTAAATACATAGCTGTTGACATTTTGTCCAGTGAAGTACCTGAGTTGTTTATAGGGAATACCTGTCACTTTGCCATCTGAGTTTCTCCAAGTACCACTCTTTCCCATGATGCTTCAGCAGTTTGACCCTCTTTAAAGACCCTTCAAAAAATCTTACTCAAGCAGATAATTGCTTGATGCTTCCTAGCAAATGTTAACAGCGACCATAAATATTTTTTAATGTTATTTTTTAATTATTTTCACAAGTCTGTCAGAGAACTTTATTCATTATCGCATCTGAGGCCATAAAAATGGCTTCAGATGCAACAAGAGCTTTTTAAACTGCAAACTGCCTGAGAAATATGCACCCACTGAATGGTAGTTCCCTTGGAATTTGCACTCTCCCACCCACCACTGTCTTTGATTTAGCAGTTCTCCATGTTCCTTCTGGTAGAGGCAGGCAGGGACAGAAACACCAGTGAAAGCAGCTCATATACAAACAACGATTAGAGAACAGAAGAGTAGGAGTAAAAAGGCCATAGCTAAACTTGTTGATATTCCTTACACGGTGTTGTCGCTGGCACTGTCAGAGCAGCTGTAAGAAATGTTGTTAGTAGAGCTCAAGAGAGTCCTGCAGTGGGTGGATGTTGAATTACACATGTTCACAAGATAAGCGGTAAAAATGAATTGAAAGAGCAACAGAATTAGCAACAAAGTCTGCCCCCTTGGAAACAACTATTTTTATCAATTAGCATTTTAAATTTGTTTGTAATTACCCAGATGTATGCAAAAACATGAGTGTATTTTCCAAATAGTGAACAGTGGAAAAATATTTTTAGTGCTGCATGAATGTTAGAACAGTAGACAGATGTAAGCTGTGAAAAATTAGACCTGAAGATTATGAGCAAATGCACTAGGTTCATGCAGAAAGAGGTTGCTTTCAAAGGTCTAGGGCATGTTCTGTGGTGGGCTGCCACAGTGGTTAGGAGCTGGAGCACTTGTCTTGTGAGAAGAGGCTGAAGGAGCTGTGCTTATTCAGCTTGGAGAAGAGAGGATTTCAGGAGGATCTAACAGCAGCACACTGGTATCTGCAGAGCTATCCAGGAAAACAGTCAATTCTGTACAGTGGTGACAGGAGAGATAGGAGAAGGACAAAAGACATCAGCATAGACTGAAGCAAGAGAGGTACACAGTGGTTAAAGATGAGCTATGAAGATGGTGGAACAGGCTGTGCAGTCCCCTTCCTTTGAGCTTTTCAAGACCTGACCACACGCTCCTAAGCAATGTGGTCTGAGCTTAGAATCGGCCCTGCTTAGAGCAGGAGGTTGGGCTGGTGACTTCCTGAGGTCACTTCCAGCCTGAATTTCTGTGTGATCCTCTGATCCTAAGGTACAGCCAGCACATAACCAAGGCAGCTCTCTATTTTCACCATGTCTTTCAGTACCACAGCTCTTCATTTGATTGCGTTTTTATTTACGTTTTGGTGAAACCAAAGACTATTTTCAGTTACCTAACAAGTCTGCCATTGTGAGTCTGTGAGATTGCAAGGGATGGTGAAGATTGTCAGAAGATGAACGCAGAGTTGATAGCAATTGTTGCAGCTGGGATAGACATAAACAGTGAGAACCTGAAGCCAGAGGGCTACTGAGGAAGGCATGGGCAGGAATTTTGATACTGGAAACACATATTGTGTTGAAAGCAATAGAAAGTATAGAAAATTGGGATGAAGACGTGGCAATCATAGAGAATTTCCTAGAAAAATAGATACAAGTATGATGACACCAAGCTGGAGAACTAATGAAGGAATCCAAAGCTATAATGGAACAGATAAAATGTTACACAAACTCAGGTACGTGAGGACACATAAAGGAAAGAGGAAGTAAAGAAAGGATTTTGTTCGTTAACCCTATAAAGAGTGAAATGAATCACCTAGTCATGACTAAATGCTTGTAATACAGATCGGAAATACTGACTCCCTCTCACCCTCCAGCACTTCACACATAGGTGTAATTAGTTTAGAAAAGCATTTCAATTATCCATTGTTGAAGAAAACTTAAATAGGTAGAGATTTCCTAAATTCTCAGCATGAACAGGTACAGGTCAGCTCCAAGCATGCAACTACCTTGAAAATACTGAGGTGCTTACTTTCACTTGAACCCTGTTGATGTGCAAGTGGAGGAAGCTGTATCCCCATGAGAGAATAAACATTCTGTCCTATGGCAGTTCTGAGGAAGTTGTGGAGATGATATTGCTCAAGATATATACAGGTTTCATCCATGTAGGCATAAAAGCAATTTGATAGCTTGTGTCCGCTAACAATATCATTTGCTTGCTTGTTTTTTGGGGTGTTATTGTGCTTCCCTCCTGCTCATGTGCTTCTGGAATCTGTCCTAAAGGAGGCAAAACTGAACTACTGAAATCATGTCCTCATGGAAGCTTCTAACATAATTTACAGATTCAAAGGTTAGCAGATATGGTTCATATGTGCAACTCAGTTTGAACTCCAAATCCTTTTAAATTATTTTACAATTACTTCTGCAAGTACAACAAAAGCAAACTATCAGGAATAGATTCCAGAAACTCTGCCTAGCAAGCAACTGAGATTCCAGCCCAAAGCATGTTTTTTAAACCTCACAATTTTATGTACTGTATTTGTCAAGATAGGTTGCCATCAGAAGAGAAATTAAATATCAACATCTCTTCCAGAATGCTCCTAAATATCACTTTTATCTGTCAGGATCCCAAAGTAACTAATTGTGAAAGTTAAAAGGTCAATGCCAGACAGACAAACTCAAAATAAATTGGTGTGGAATGTCATTCTAGTCCATCTGCTTTCCCCTAGCAGAAATAAACTGAAAAGCTGTCAGTGACTTAAGTAGGAATGTAGACAATGTGGGCAAGGCTGGATAAGTTTGTCTTCTTAGGCAAACAACGAGCAGTTCCCACATCTAGATTTGTTTGGATTAGATAGCCAGAAACAAAAAGCATGAATAACTTTCAGCAAACCAATTGCACTTCTCCCTGTTGTCTGGAGAGTGTCACACCCGTGGAGACAGAGCAGTGTTTGGGGTTACACAAAGAGCAGTAGCTGGGTGCTGTTTTGTGCTGTATACACCTGTGGTGTGCCCAGCCAGCCTACCCAGGAAGTTTGATAGCAAAGGTGAAAAAGACCTTTGAACACTGATATTGTTATGGGAAACTTTGCTCAAAAAAAAAATCAAGAAAAACATGAGGTGGCATTGTTCTATCACTGCAGTGGAAGGAAGTGCTCCCTACAATTCACAAAACAGAAAACCCTGTTAGTGGTCCATTACCAATTTCCAGACTCTCTCTTGTTAGTCTCCTCAGCTTGGCAAGACAGTGGTCAGACACTGAAAGCACCATGGTGAGAAAGCAGCTCCCAAGAGCTAACCCTTATACGTGCCTGTAATTGCTGATAAGCATTTACACTATGCTTTCCCTTTCTTAAAATTACGTCTGATTATATATCCCGTATTGTCTCAGACTGTTGTCTTGCCATTCATTCATGAAAATCCATGTCAGTTTTACATTGGCAGCATTACCATAGTTATGTTGTTGTTACAACTTAATCTTGCAAGTAGCTGAGCAAAATACCAAATAGCAAAATGAGGTTGGAGTAGTCTCCACAATCCAGCCAAATAAGACATTATATCTTTACACTGCATTCCCCAGTCAGTGCAAAACCACTGCAGAGTCCTTTGGGTAAAAGTCTAGTTTCTCCATAGATAATCACACACATAATTCAATCATTTATATAAAATAGCAAAGCCCCTAATTAGCAGAAGTTCCCAGGGGCTTTACTTCCCGCTGCTTGCATTAATGCATTATTAGAAATCTTAATATTGTCAACATTTCTCTAAGATTTTTGAGGGCAAAATTAATTTGGGGAACTCCTCACCATAATCAATTATTAAAGCAATCTGAATGGTAAGATAAATAATAATTGAAAAAAAAAAAAAAGCATTAGATTTATACAAATGTAAATCACTCAGCATCTGTCTTTGTTTAAGAAGATGTGAAACAGGTATCTGGCCCTATGCCTTCTTCATTAGCAAAAACAAAGCAGAACTGAGGTTGAAATGTTTTCACGATTCAGTATTATTCACCTTAAAAAGAACAATGTGAATAAGGAGGATACAAAGAGGTAGAATTAAATGAATAATTTTCAGCATGGTGGAAGAGTTAATAATAGAATGACAAATAACTCCTGTGTGGTACATATTTCAGTGATCAGGCAAAAGGACTGAGAGGAAATAATTATGTAGTTAGCTCAGAAGCCAAGATGACATGAACCTTTAGCTTTGAGGAAGAATGGAGAACACTATTACCCGTGAAATGTTGACAAATGCAAAGAAAGATTGCTGTGAGGAAAAGCCTCATTCACATTTAATTGAGCACTCAATTCAAGAAAAAGACTTAGATTTCATGGGAAGCATACACGGTAAGGTACAGTTACATTGACACTATTTTGTATATTTACATATGTGTAATAAACTATAAATATGCATTGTATATATACAATCTTACATACATAGGAAAAAAGCATGAAGATCATTATAACGTCATTAATAAAGAAGTGAATTTAACTGGACATGAAGAAATACTTCTGTGAAAAGTGCAGATTGAAAGATTTGGATCTTGCTGTTCCTAATCCATACAGGAAAGAACAAAAATGCAGAAAAATCTAAAACACGAAGAAAATTTTTTATAAAATATAGTATTAGTAGTATTAGCCATTATGACCATTGTTACAGGTAGATGCTGCAGTTGAGAACTAACAAGATATAAATTATTAATTTCAAGAATTGCTAGAATTTTGGAAAGAATGTTTTTTCTCCTTCAACGATTTTCAACAGTCTTTAAACATTAAACAATAGAATGAAATGTGTATGGAGATACAACTGACCCATTCCTGTGGAACTCCTGAAGACTTTTGCCCTTTTGCTGAAGCGTCTCAGATTTGTGCCCTGGATTAGATGGGTCTTCATCCTGGTCTTGAAGACCAGTTTCCACATACCTATCAAAGTTTCAAAGACTGTCTAATTGCTTACTTATTGACTGTGGCCCTTTGCAACAAGACTGAATTTAAGCACAGATCTTAAGGCCACTATTGTGGTTGTAGAGAACCAGGCTATAGAAGCCTTTGGACCATTGTGTCTTAAAGAAAATCAAAGCTGCTGTACTGGGAGCATAGAATCCCTTAAGGAGGGAGCATATAAGCAACTAAAAAAAAATTGTCCAATGGCATGAAGATATTTATGGAGCAAAATGTAATATATAGAAGCTACTTTGAGGACTGCACTGCATACCTAGCATTACCCAATTCAGGAATAAAGCAATGAGTCCCAATTTGTAAATGTATCACCTTCTGCTGAAGCCCTCACAGAGGCCTTGCGCCTCTCACAGCTGTCTGCAGCTTACCCACCCTGTTACCCACACTGGTGCTTTGATATGCAGTGTGTAGGCCAAGGAGAGCTGGCCACGCTCAACTTTGTAAACAAGTAGCTCGCTAAGGAACTGTCTGGTTGGTGTAGGTAGTCTTCAAAGTGGAATGCTATACATGAATTTTCAGATTTTCTTCTAAATCTTATTTAGTTCTATACTTTTTATCCTGGGGGTAGAGAAGCTGTATTGTTGTTTTTTTTTGAGGGAGGGGAGTTGCATTTGTGAATAATCAAATTCATTTCAGATTTGAAATATCAGCCAGATATATTTCAGATTGTTTGTAACTGCCAGCCAAGTGCAGCTTCTGTGAGCTGAAATTAAAAGGATGTACGTATTTCAACCTTACTGAGGGAAACTTGTCATATCCTTCTGGGGACATCGAATGCTCATAAGAAAGCACCACTGATTCCGCAAATGTTACAGCTATCAGTTTCTTCCTTTAGAGCTGCTTATCTATGGACTACAAAGTAGAGGGATCCTACAGTTTGAACCACTCTGTGAGCACATATGATTACTGTGGAAGAAGAGTAAGAAGAGATATAATGAGAAGGAAAGTGGTTATTGATTTTCATGGAAAATCCTTGAGAGAAAAAATATTGTTTAGAAGGCAGATTAATGGGAGAAGGGAGACTGCCCTCAGTAGGTCACTTAATGCCTAAAGGCAGAGGAGGTCACAAGTTTCAGTGGTAATTGCTGTTAACAGTCAAAATTTGGGGCAAGTTTTTACCTCTGTAATGTTCTATAGACTAAGAGAGTGAATTCTCCACAATTGCATTGGAGTGCAGTATTGCTCATCAGACAAAAAAACCCTGATCTAGATTAATAGGGAAAACTGTACCTCTGTACCTACGACCACAGTAGATGCCAAGTGGGTTGTGGAGATAGTGACCCAACAAGTCTTCATTTTGGGATGCAATTCTGTTATCTTGTGCATACACTTTTGGAACAGATGCTTTACAACTTCAATGCCTTTTAACAGAGGAAGAGACAAGTATATGAATCAAACCTGATAAACAACGGCTTGCAACTTGAAGCAACACGATCGGTGAGTGCACTTTCCTTTGTGTGCATTCTGTGCCTGAGAACACAAGCTGCCCCTATGTGGATAAGGAACTGAATATATGAACTGACCTTTACATTTTTCTCCTCTTCTTGGCTTCCAGGTTTTGGATGAAAAAACTATTTTTGTGAAAGTGCATGCACCTTGGGAAGTGCTATGCACATATGCTGAGGTCATGCACATCAAATTGCCTCTGCAGCCCAACGACCTGAAAACTCGGGAGTCAGCTTTCAACTGGTTTACTAGACTCTTCAGCGTGGATGAAAATATTATCAAACCTGAGCAAGAGTTTTTCACTGCTCCTTTTAAAAGGGAACATTTATCCAACTTTTATATTCAAGACAAAGACACATTTTTCAATCCAGCAACAAGAAGCCGAATCGTAAGTCCGTGGAGTATTTATAGCCTTTAGTCTTAAAAGGCAAAAAACATTTTAATCAAAACAGTGTAATCACCCTCAAGAAAGCATCCTGAAAAACTGGAAAATATTTGGGATGCAACAGTTCTGTGTCATTTATGAAAGAAACTGGGGAATCTCAAAGGACAACATGTAGAAATCTGTTTCATTTCTGTTCCACTAGAATTTAAGAGAGGGGTTGAATGGTTCCTATGCCCTGTGTGATTAAATGTCTGCATTGCTTACCCTTTCATAATCTGTATGTTGAAACACGTACAGCCACTTACGATTACTTTCAGGTTGCAAGAGACACAAAATATTTTGTAAATTTCAGGTTCATTTTATCCTATCCCGTGTGAAATACGCGACCAAACAGAATGTAAAGAAGTTTGGCATTAATAAGTTACTGGACACTGGAATCTACAAAGCAGCATTTCCCCTTCATGACGTAAGTCCAGAACTTGCAGTAACAGTGTATTTAGAAATAAAAGTCTGCAGATCAAGAGTGTGCTTTTGATAGTAGAAGATACAAGCCTTACTCACTGGTGTTTTTATCCACATGGTAGAATATGACAGAGTCCAGCTTAAGAGGATTATCTCCAAAAGGCTGTTTGTTAAAAATGTAGCTCCATGACTGAAACATGATATATTTTATGTAGGGTATGTTAATCTTGTATTCTCTGGGAGATACAGGTCAGTAAAGTGCCTGGCTAACAGAGGAACCTGGGAACACGAGAGTGATGGTTCCCACCTAACGCTCTCTATCATCATTTCTAAATAAGTTTTCACATTTTTGTACTACTTCATTTTCCAGTATAAAAATCCATACCAAATGTCAACATTTTAATCAAGATGTAGAACACAAATCTTATCTGTGAGCAAAGACAAATATATGATTGTACCTACACCCACACACCTCCTCCCCCATCAGAACCACTCTTCTGTGCCTGAGGTGTATTCTGCTGAGAAGAAAATGAGAAAATGGGAGGTCAGGAATGGTAACTACGTGAGATGTTTGTACTCTGCTGAAAATATTTATGAGGTCTCTGAGGATTTAAAGAAAATTTTTAAGTCATAATCAAGACAAATCACGTTTCTTGGAAGTAACTCAAAGCTTTACAGGATAGAATTAATATCATTCATGAGTATCTATTTTTAAGGTTGTCTTTTAAAGATTTAAAACCTGCCTTGCAGTCTAATTCTGTCATGGCATGGGGAATTTGGGCTCAGTATGCCTAATAATTAATGACTGTCTTTTTATACAATCAAAATTACATGTCAGAGCTACTCTGAAAATCAGAAGTCGCCTATTGATTTCTACAAAAGTGATTTTTCTTGTTGTATTATAGATATAGAATGGAAAATTCCATCAAATAAAACAGGTTTTACTGAAATAGGTTTTCAAATAACTTGGTAAAAAACATAAGGATTACCTCCAAGTCAACTGTCTTTTAAATATAAATACAAAACAGAGACTAAACTTCCTGGATTCATCCCTTGAACTTTCTGATCTTCATTCCAGAACAATATTGCTTTAGAATAAAGCATGTTACCATATGAAAGCTACTTAAAATCCATATTAAAGCAGTCCTGTTCTAAAATTATAATAGATCCTTTTTTGATTTGTTTTACGAAGTGCCAATACACTGACACAGGCTGAGAATTTAAGTTCATGGGGAGGGTCTGTTGCTTTCAGTTCACATGTGTAAAGTGCTTGCTTTAGTATTCAGAGTCTTTCTGACAACCTTCCAGCATGAATCCTGATGCAATCTCAGAGCTACTTCCCAGGTGTTTCCCTGGATTGCAGTGCAAAAAGGCTATTCCAGTGTCTGGGATCATGCCGCAAGGTCTGTGGATATGAGAGTTGACCCATGCGTTAATGGTTACACTAATTATCTTCTTCCCACACTTTCTTTTTTGCAGTCTAGTTTTGGGCACCTGTCAACTGATCCTGACTGCCCAAGTGAACGTTATCTTCTCTACAGAGAATGGGCTCACCCTAAAAACATTTTGAAACTGCAACCCCTGGATTTCATCAGGTTGGTGGATGTGAATGAGCAGCATGGAGCTGTGTCAGGGGAGGATCAGGCTGGGTGTAGGAGAAGATTCTTCATCAGAAGGGTGATCAGGCACTGGAACAGGCTCCCTGGAATGGCGGTCATCGCCCTAAGCTGCCAGACTTCAAGAAACACTTGGACAGCGGTCTCAGACATGGGGTTTGGATTTTGGGTCCTGTTGGAAGCTGGGAGTTGAACTCAAGGATCCCTATTGGTCCTTTCCAACTCAGGGCATTTATTCAGTGATTCTGTAGTGCGACTATGGCTGGACTAATGCTGAAGTAACTAGGAATTTATGTAAATAGGAATTTATAAAACATGTCTGGGTTTTGAGATGTCAAGACGCAGGCAGGTACATATACCTCTATCAGCTTATGCATGGGGGCACACTGATGAATCAATTCATGACAAACATCCACTTAAAATTTTTCTTTGTTAGGTATAATCTGTCTTTTTTCATTTTCTTTCCCTTCCAGTTCTCATATGCAAGCATAAAAGAGGTGACAGAAATACATAGAAATACCTAACCGTAATACTTCTGCAACCCCAGAGTTTAAACTAGAGGAATCTGACAATGAAAGCTGTCATATTTGAAACAGAAATTTGAATTTACTTGCATTTAATTAAATAAAAAAATACATTTCTCTCTGCAGGAAATACTACGGAGAGAAAATTGGAATCTATTTTGCATGGCTGGGCTTTTATACTAATATGCTGATCGTGGCTGCAGTTGTAGGAGTTGGCTGCTTTCTGTATGGATTCTTCATGAAGGATAACTGCACATGGAGGTATCTAATCGGGCCTATTTTAATATTACCTGCATTTTTTATCAGTCCTCTACTGAACACAGTTTGCAAGACATAGCATTGTAGGAGGCAAAATGAAGGAGCACAAGTTATGAATTTGAAAGAAACGGTAGAAAATATAAGATAGATAAGTAATAGATGTTCCTGTGCCATTAGAGCACTAGACATGTGAGTCTGTTACCGCCGTATTTTCTTCATACATTGCACTAAGTCACCACACATTGCGTAGAAATAAAAAGAAAAATAATCAGGAGTCAGTATAAATTTCTGTAACATCATTTTCAGAGTGTTAATCTTTAAAGGATGTATCCAAAGGCCCTGATAAAAGCCTGAACTTGCTTTCTTCTATTTTGAGAGAAGAAAACAGGAAGAGCAAGAGCACATGGGGCTTCAGCTGCCCAGGGTACACTGGGAAGAGAAGCATAGCGATAACACATATTGTCTCATCAGAACATGGTGAGATTGAACCATGACACAAGGACCAAGGAAAGAACACCTGGGTGCCAAATCACTTACAAGACATCATACTGTACAGCCCCAGTCAGGGAGGGAGTTTATCCTTATAAATCATGCTGAAAAGCTCTTCCAGAACTCCACTCCAGTGGCCACTTTATACTCATTTAGTCATATTATCATTTAGTTAAATTATAATAAGCCTCTACCATATCAGACTAAAGAAGCCAGACTCTTGTCACCCCTTAGAACACCAGTTCTCCAATCTGAGCCTCTTTGGAAGAACACAGGGACCAGTTAGCCATTTCGGTTCTGCTCCTTGCTCTGGCAGGCAGCATTCCTACTCCTCCCCTTGGCCTTGCTGTGATAGCCTTCCTGAGTGTGCAAGTGTGTATTTGTGTATTTCCTACTGATGGACCTGAGCTCTTTGAAGAGATTTTATTTTTACTGTGACTAGTTTTGAGAAATGCTGCTACACATAAAGGATGGAAAAAATATTTTCTGTCTAGGTCATCCAGTTTAGAGATGAAGGCTAAAAAATGGCAATGGGGATGTTTTGAGGGAGGGGGGAGATTCTCAAAAGAAGGCCACTGGTGAATTATTTCTCATATCCCTGACATAATTGCACTGTCTTTGTGCACAGAAGGACTAAAGAATTTAGTGTTGGTGAGTGACTGACTAGTTTTGTTTTTAGCCAAGAAGTATGTGATCCCAACATAGGAGGTAATATCATAATGTGCCCTCAGTGTGATAAAGTATGTACCTACTGGAACCTCACCATCACTTGTGAATCATCCAAGGTAATTACATTTACAGCTTGTAGACATGCTATTAACCCTTAGTTGCACTTTCTCTAGTACTGTGTATAAAACAATGTTGTTCTCCACTAATGTCCTGCATAGTTACTGGAGCTGTGCAAATAGTTGTGCCTTTTGATACAACAACTGAGCTATGAGAAGTTAACAATTTAAAAATGCTCCATTTTGATCTAAAATGAAAAAAAAAAGACTTTTTAGTTTTACATAGCCCCCAATGTCTAAAAGATTTTTTGATTGAAAATGGAACATTGTGGTTTCATTTTGGAATAGTCCTTTCCTTTTTTGGTAAACAAAGCAAAACAAAACAAACATTCAATTACTAAAGACTTGATTGAGTAACTATGAGTCAATTTTGCCTAGGAAAAGTTTAGAGCATGTTTTGGCATTTCTAAATACTCTCCCCTGTCTCCCCAAAGAAATTAGCTGAACCTGTGCCTTGAATTTGACAAGAGCTGTCAGGAAGTTATGGGTACATGAGGAGGCCAATATTAGCCATGACAGGTGCTGTGAATAGTGTCCTGTTAAGCATGGCGTGGCATGGCCACACTCCTGCACTCAGTGCACATCCAGAAGAATCTATCTTTCTTTCTCCATTAACTTTTGCCACTAGGCTAGGGTTAGACTTTTGTCATTCCTTTCCATAGATTCAGCCACTCCAAAGTTACAGGTTTTTAGCTATTCATTAAAAGTGTTTTGCCCTACTTTAGTGGATATTTTTGCTTCAGTGCACTTAACATAACAGGCAAAAGAAAGAAGACAGGAAAAAGAATATTATGAAAAGAAAAGACAAATACCACAGAGGTATCTCATCAGAATGCATGTTACTAACTACCTTGATTTGTTGTCATCTTACTTATGAGAAGCAGAGATGTTCATTGCCTTTTTGTGACTGTATTAAAAATAAGCACTGCTTTTCCTCTTCCAGTGCAACAGATGGAAGGAAGTTTAACAGCACACCACACTATTATCCTCTTGCTGCATATTTCATTTACACTTTTAATGCCAAGCTTTGCAGTTAATTTCCTTAGTTTACCAGAGGATGTTGTACACTGACAGAAGTTGAGGAAACTCTAGCAGTGAAGATTGTTTATTAAACTACGCAAAAGCTAGAAATCAGGCTGTCCAGTGAGCAGCTTCAGTTCTGTTTCAGTGCAGAAGAAATTACTGTTTGATTGTGTTTCAAGGCCTTTTTTCTGTTCCTTTTTTTCCAGAAACTCTGTATATTTGATAGCTTTGGAACACTGGTGTTTGCAGTGTTTATGGGAATTTGGGGTAAGTCAATTTCTATGGCTGTGGTTTGTCATGTGATTTTGGCCAAGCATACAGCATTGGCCAAAAAATGGATAAATTTACAACTGCTTCATTTTCTAGCACTCGGCAATTCACCACTAGGTAATTCAGTAAAAGATACATAAATTCATGATAGATCTTTTTAGCAGCATAGAATCACAGAGTAGTTTGGATTGGAAAGGACCTTAAAGATCATCTAGTTCCAATCCTCTTGCCATGGGCAAGGACATGTTCCACTAGATTGTCCAAAGCCCCATCCAACCTGGCAGATACTACAGTTGACAGATGTCTGTTTCTCCCTTTTTCCCCCTACCGCACTGTTAAGGATAGATGGGCAGGTAGGTAAAAAGAGCTTATTGTGTAAGAGAACGAAAAGTTGTAGAACTTAAATGTTGGTCTTCTGTACCTGTGTTTGTTTTAACTTGGAGAAAAGTCTGAAAGAAGTGAGTAGAGCTGCCTTGTGTTCTTCCAGCAGGAGCCACATGCTTAATTCCATCCAGCAAAAGAGCTGTTTTTTCCCCAAAATCCTTGCAGCTGCCTGTGCCTATTAACAACCATGTGACTGTGGAAAGCAATTGAAAAATAGCCATTTATTGTATTTTCCAGTCTTTGTTTCCTCCTGTCTTCGTTTAAGAAAGAGTTTTTTGTAAAAATGTAGTAGTTACAAGCAGTAGAGATATTTTTTATCAGAGAAAATATATCTGAAACCAGGATTATTTCTTGTGGGTGAAACCACTTAGCTACAATGGATTAGGCATGGTTTATTTTCACAGAAACGGTTTTATTTGTTCATATTAGCAACTCTCTTAACTGCCTTTTATTGCACTGCCTTATCCAGAAATTGTCAAAATAATTTACAGTTGAGGTATAAAGGGTACTGCAGAGAAAATAACTCATTTGACACTTACAGTTCATATGTAGGCTGACAAGAATGCATAAATTGTTTTCTTTGTAAAACACACTGTATACTTATTTTCCTAATAAGAGTAAAGTGCTTTAGAATAACTACTTCTTTAAAGAATTGTAAAATGAGCAGTCATTTCAAAAAGAGTATTTCCTTCAAAACACTTGCTAAATTCAAAAATGCCAGCAGGAAATAAAAATAAAAATAAAAGAATTAGAAGTTTGATACTAATGTAATCTTCCACCATTTGAATAGCTAATTTAGTAATTTGCTTTTTAATTAAAAATTCTGTCTCCTGTTTTGAGGAAGGTTCCGAGAGTAATAATTACAAAATTAAGCTGCATGGTTGTAATGATGGCCACAAGATCTATTAGTCTTCTCATTGTAAGTCCACTACAGAAAGAGGTGAATTGTATTACAGCAATTTGGACAAAATTGTACTGAATCCAAATGACCCAGGGTCCTGGTACAATTCCAGCTGTAATTTCTGTATTGCCCTGGTAATTTGGTAGACCTCCTGATCCAAAATAATCAAAAGACTATTCGATTTTTACATACCTTATCATATCATCATCATCAATATACTTTTTAATAGATCTTTTATTTTTTTTAACTATTCCATTCAAAGATCTCAAAGCACCATAAAACATCCAGGAAGTTGGCCTCAAGAATTAACCCCCTGCACATTAGTGCTCTGGATGAGGGCTTTTGCCACTTCTCCCCTGGTGGCATGAGCAGGTTGGCAAAGCTCCCGAGAAAGGAGCAGCTTCCACTTCTCTTGCTGCCATCGCTGGAGACTCTCTCTGAGCAAGATCAGCAAACACATTCTCCAAAATGCTGTTATAAAATAAATAGTGGGGGGAAGGAAAAATATTGCAGCAGCTCCTTCCCAGTTCAGAAAGAGCAACTCGGCTGCTGTATTACTTACTAGTAGAAGTTTTCTTTGTCCTGGGGCTGTGAAAGCTGCCCTGTGCTATGAGCCCTGCTTTTGCTGTTCGCATAGAGGGCAGCACAGACATGGGCCCTGCACTCCTGGCCTCCCCAGAGCAGCTGGATTTGCAGCTGGAGCTAATCAGGCTTGCCTACAGTTTCCCTTATTTGGGCTGGGGCCGCAGCAAGCAGTTAGAAGCTTGTGGAAGGCTGATCTCTTTGCTCTGCAGGCAGAGGCAGATGTGATTCCCTGGCCCACTGCTTGGAGTGGCCTTAGTGCTTGTGAGCACGAGGTAGCAGAGAAGTCCCTCTGAAAGAGGCCCTGGAGCAATCAGAGAGGAGGATTTCTAGGGGTTCTGCCTAAATGCAGATGCCAACGTCATCTCGCAGCCCGGCCCATGTAGTTTATTCATTTATAAATGCTTCAGTATGAAGTTTATTGACCACACCTGAATTTGGAAATAACCTTTAATGCTTGGACTTATAACTGCATGCCGTCAGTGCTTCATCATTCAGAATGAGGTGCCAAACTAATTTAAAAAAAAAAAAAAAAAACAAACTTTTGGGGGGTTAATTACTCCCAGACAATGGGAGTTACAAGAGAAGCACAGTGAAGGCACACACTCACTCCTCCTGGAGGCAGTGCTGCACAGCCACTCATTGAAGCTGAGGACACGTGGCCACCAACAATACAGCATCCCCTGCACTCACACCCATGTCCTGAGCTGCTCCAGCCTTCCCAGCTGAGTCTGTCATTGCCTGTGCTGTCAGACGTACCTGCATCACACCTCAGGTCAAGATCGTGAGCTTGGTTGGACTGGTGTCTTTCAAACACCATGTAGGCATCTATGTGCCGGCTTCCCTTAATGTTCCCAGCCGCAGGAACGTAGTCCAGGGAAACTGCTGACTCAGCTCAGATGGTCTCAAAGCTCCTTGCCATGCAAAAAGATCTGCAGCCACTTCAGATTTGTGCCAGCGGAGGAGGAAAGGAAGCTGTGGTTAAGCAGTTTTGCCTGAGCTAGCATCATCAGTTCACATAGTCTGCAAACTGATCATTTGTCCACACAAAAACTGCAGATTGAACGAACACAAGCTTTTCCCTGTGGCAATTTTTTGCTTACTGAGGTTTTCTTTGTGATAAATCCTGTACTCTCCAACATTTTGTCTTCATCTATCTATACAACTTGCTGTCTTATGTATCCCATGGTAAACTTTTTCAAAAGCAGTCCATAGTATGAAATCCAAAGTGATTATATTCCAGCCTTAGGCAGAAAACAGATAAATGTATGTGTATTCTTTAGGATGAGCTTATGACACCACTTGCCCCAGGTTTCTCTTACTAAAGTACCTAAATGTCCAAAGCAGTAATTCCATAAAGAAGTATATCAGTTATTTTCTTCTTCATGGGCACTTGACACCATCATACTAGCTATTAAGGGTTTTGCTCCATGCCTGTGGAAAGTTGTATGGAAATATGAGCCATGTGGTATATATGAGCCCAGCAGTTCAATGTCCAACTGTTGCTTCTTCCGTTGTCTTCTGGACAGTTACATTGTTTTTGGAGTTTTGGAAGAGAAGGCAGGCTGAGCTGGAGTATGAATGGGACACAGTGGAGTACTTAGAGCAAGAAGAACAAATTCGCCCAGAATATGAAGCTCAGTGCACTCATGTAGTAGTGAATGAAATCACACAGGTAAGGACTATTTTGGTAACTGGTCAGAGCTACTGCAATAGACATGTTATGGGAGCACTGTGAAAATGATGAATCTGGAATGGAGCAGAATAAATTGGCAGTGCTTCAAGGAGAGCTGATAAGCTGGCCTGAATAGTGAGTTTATAAATTCCAGATGTGTAGGAGGGAAGTTCTACTAACCATAGGCATCTCTTAGTTGCCTGTTGGAGGAGCTATGAAACTCCTGTGTCATTAATGAACAGAAATAGACATTGTACCTAGCTTAGGAGAGAAACTAAGTCTGCCTTATTAAATCCCCCAATAAACAATCCTGTGCTGCTGCCAGAGGCCAAGATCACAGAGCATTTGCTATCTTTTCCTAAAAATATGTCAGGAAAAAAAGAAAAAAAAAGAAAAGGTGAAACAGAGGGAAGGATGTTGCATTATGTATAATGGCAAGGCATTTTTTCTATCCTGTTTGAAATGTACAAATAGGTATTGTTGCCAAGTGAATGTAGATGCAGTTACGATTAATAACAGCAAACTCACAGGGACAAGGATAATCCTCATTTTAATGAAATAGGATTCATATTTATGAGGATCTTAGTTTAGATTTCTACTCATTATATATTTTGAGTAGCTTCTGCTTTTGCAGATCACTTTAGCTCATCTTCAGTTTTTATTATTCTCTGTCAATATATTGCTCTAGCATTTATCGGATTATTTGCATTGCTTTCACATTGCATCCACATTATACTAGAGCTTATTAGAGGACACTTGAAATTCCAAATTAACTGGTTTGAAAGGCAGTGATCTTGGATACTATGATCAGCCAAGAACGATGGGTCCATTCAGAAAGACTATGCACCCTATTGTAGCTAAAGTCAATAAGAGCTGAGGACATGCAGCCTCTGTGGAAGTCATTTTTGTCTTAGAATAGGCAGTAAAAAGAGGCAACTGTAATCAGGTTAGTCTTCTGAAATCATGAATAAATGTGAGTTTCCAGGATAAAAAAGCAAGACATTTGGTGTCCTGTCACAAAGGGCTAACTGATGCGTACAAAAACGTCTGAAGAAAAGATTGGATGCATCTTTGATCTGTTTCTGAATCTTTTGCAGCAAGAAGAACATGTGCCATACACTGCCTGTGGGAAGTGCGTGCGTATAACTTTATGTACAAGTGCAGTCTTCTTCTGGGTAAAGTTCTCCTTTTATTCTTTCACCTCATCAATTTACTTCTTCACAAAGTGTCTAAAGATAGATTTCCCTAACCTGATAAAAAGATATCAAGAGAAGAAGTTCAGTTAAATTTCCATCCGATGCGTAAAACAAGGCTATGAAGTATGGATCCACATGGACAAGGTCACTGTAGCCAGCAGATAACTCATTAGCATGCAGTCAGGAGAAAATACGCATTGAAGCATCCCACAGCTGTAGCTTTGTGAATGTCATTCACTGTTTTTTCCCTCATTATTTAAAGATAAATGTCTTCGCTTTTGTGAAGAGAGCAGGGAAGAGAGTTGTGGGGCTTTTTTTATGTGTTGTCCTCCCTGCCAGTGTCTGCCTTACTCATTCCAGCTGTTTGGTTCAATATAATATCTCACAGCTCTGGACTTCTTTCAGGTTTTTTGTTTCACTTAGAAGAGCAAAGCTGAGCACTCTTTGATCTTCTAAAGCTGCCGCTTTAATTAAAACTTAACCTTGAAAGAAATCCAGCCACCCATGAAACTGTATCACATGGTAAACGTGCCTAGAGACGTTGCCTTGAAAAGCTCGGTGTTTCAGCCTGCTGTATGTTCTCCTCACACGTAGCATGAGCAGCAGCTCCAAAAGAACTCAAGAACTCATCCTAGATAATAGGAGACAAGACAACACTGAGACAGAACAGTGGCTGGCAGTCCAGAAGCACCTCTTAACAGCTGAAACACAACAAAAAGAAGACTGACTTGCTGCTGGATTTAAGTAGGCAGGCATCAGGTTGAAGGATTCAGGTTGAAATCAAAGAGATTTGATCTAGTTTTGCCATTGTGTTACTGTACTCTCAAATTCTGTGCTAGGAGTGTGGAGGGAGAAGAATTTATGACATTTTGCTGAGATAGTAAACAAAAAATGCACAGCTCTGAGGATCTGAGTCTGAATAATAGCTGGAGAACTAGCAAGAAAGCAGAAAGAGAAGAGATGGAAAGTAATGTGAGGTGCCTGGAGCATGAGTACAGCTCCTGCAGATCACATGAGATGGCTTAAAATGTGTCTGTAATACCATCATGTGAAAGAGAAGTGACAGCCCTCTCCAGGGTCAGCATGGACCTGCTAGCATATTTGCCACCCCGCTAGTTACCCAGTGTCCTCCTGGAACCATCACAAGCCTTCAGGCGTGAGATTTGATTACACATCTCATTATGTTATCTCACATGGCAACAAGGCTTGTTATTAGTCATAAAACAGACCATCTCTTTTTGTTCCTGCAGATTCACTGTGCTACATGAAAAATGCTTCTTTAATGGACTCTAGATTTATTGCCTTCTATCCCATCTGTGCATCCTCTTATACTCACGGGATAGAATAAAAGGCACAGAACCAGTTTCTTTTTGCCTATTGTAAAATGAATTTCAAACTTTCTTCCCAAATCCAGTAGTTCAACATTAATATATTTCCTACATTCTCCTGGCAGATTCTTTTGATTATTGCTTCGGTTATTGGAATCATTGTATACAGACTCTCTGTTTTCCTGGTGTTTTCTGCCACATTGCCACGGCACATTAATGGCACACAAGCAATCCGCAAGTACCTGACTCCACAGACAGCCACCTCAGTAACAGCTTCAATCATCAGCTTTATCATCATTATGGTTCTGAACATCGTTTATGAAAAAGTAGCAATCCTCATTACCGACTTTGGTATGTCTTCACTGTGCCTCAGATTGAAACTGGCTACAACAACAAGCAAAAATAGCATTTGTATTTATAATCAGAACTCCAGTAAATGAATATCTATACCATGCTTTTCAGAATTTTCCCACCGAATCATATGATACCATCTAGAATTTTTCAAATACAGATTTTCTGACTATAAGAGGAATGTTATATTCAGCTCTTTGCCTGGAAACTCCTTGTGTAGCCAGCATCAAAGATGAATTGTTTACAATTTTGTGCTTGTAAAATAGGCAAAGCAAAGAAAATTACTATAATAACCAAGCTTTATGAAAACAGATCAGTAATGCATAACACATTCAATTACATTAGCTTTTGTTTATGGGGAGAATAGCTATTTTCTTGTAAATAAATGAAATAGGGTCACTGTTCCAAAGCTAGATGCCATTCCCTTGTTATTAAATAGATAAACAGTCACAAATATTATTATTCTTTATATCCAGACCATCAGCTATAAAGTAGCTATTTACTTTAGATGTGTGAAGTAGTGTTGTGTTTTAATATAGTTTCATTTAATACTGTTTCATCAGTTGAAAGCATTACATTTGCATCTTTCCTGAGTGTGCTAGATTTGGGAGATTTTTTTTCCAAGTTATTAGATTTTTTGCTTGCTCTTTATTGTCAGAAGACAAATTCTTTCCTTTTTACTACCCATACAGATTTAGAATTAGCATAGCAGCTACCGTATACATAGGGATTATGTACAATCTAATTTATAATGCTCTCAGTCACATTAAGGAGCACAAGTAATATGCATACTTTTCCAGCTGAGGCTCCAAAGCAGCTTTTAGGTACTTGCTGGTTGGCCTTTTCCTCACTTTTTTTTCTATAATTGCAGAGCTTCCAAGGACACAAACCGAATACGAAAACAGTTTGACCACAAAGATGTTCTTGTTCCAGTTTGTCAACTACTATTCTTCATGCTTCTACATAGCTTTCTTTAAGGGTAAATTTGTAGGTTACCCTGGAAATCCAGTTTATTGGCTAGGAAAGTATCGCAATGAAGAGGTAAGAATATACCATAGTACTTGCTTTCAAAATGCAAGAGCCATTAGTCCAGGTATTCTGCTGCATTTGGGATTGTACAACATGGTGGTATATAGTTGGGGTTTGGAATGTGACTGCCTCCCAAGCTGCTTGCCTCCTCGTTAATCCATTGCGCAAACGAAAATGACACAAGACTAGCTGAGCTTAGAAATGTTTTTTATGTACCCAGAAAAGCTCACTTTCCCATGGTCCAACACGCAGGAAGGGGAGTAGACATAGGAACATTCTGCTGTGCTTTGCGCTGGTGCGTCCTCAACTTAAGCACTGTATGCAGTTTGCATTACCACAGTATAAGGACCAAACTGTTATAGAGAGTCCAGAGGAGGACTGCGAAGATGGTGAAGGTTCTAGAAGGCAATGGGTATGAGGAACAGCTGAGGTCCCTGGGTTTGCTCAGCCCAGAGCAGAGGAGCTGAGGGGAGGCCTGATGGCGGCTGCAGCTCCTCAGAGGGGCAGCGCTGAGCTCTGCTCTGTGTGACAGCGACAGCACCCGAGGGAACGGCGTGGGGCTGTGCCAGGGGAGGGACAGCTGGGGCTGGGGACAGGGTCTGCATCAGAGGGTGGTGGGCATGGAACGGGCTGCCCAGGGCTGTGGGAGTGACACCAAGCTGCTGGAGTTCAAGGAGTGTTTGGACAATGGTCTCATAGATAGGGTTTGAATTTTGGGCAGTCCTGTGTGGAGCCAGGAGTTGGACTCAAGGATCCTTCCGGGTCCCTTCCAACTAAGGATATTCAGTGGTTCTATGAACATGAGTAGATGCCTTCCTCTTCTGCTGGGTGATCCTCACCTGATGACAGTATAGTACAAACCTGCAAGACTTCACCTGGTGTTTTGTGCTTTCAGTAGTGTCCTGTAAACCTATCATATGTGACTATATTTCACCTGGAGTTGACTTTTGCATAAATTAGTATAAATGTTTGCCTAAATAGTCTTCTGTAGCTTAAAGAAGTGCTGTTATAATAAATCAGAAATTCATTCTTTTGAATGCTTCATTCCTGCTTGAAAGGTTTCTCAACTTCAAAAATCTTTCATGTCTCTCCCAACCTGTAGTGTGATCCAGGTGGATGTCTCCTTGAACTCACAACTCAGCTTGCCATCATAGTAGGAGGTAAAGCAATATGGAATAACATTCAAGAAGTGCTTCTTCCGTAAGTTCAGACTAAGTAACTTGCCCTTTTGCATTTGAAAGATGCTATTTTGCTTGATTCGTTCAGGAGTTTGGTCACTAAATTTGATTGGAGCAAATTGCATTCTAAAAGAACATGGCTAGTCTTTTGGGATTTTTGGGGACTTTTTAGATAGTTTGGTTAGTTTTGCTTTGGTAGTTTTGAGCTTCTGTCTCTGTCATTTTGACCGACATTAGTTCTAATCAGAAGTGCTTTCCTCCTCTGCAGATTAGACTTAATGTGCATCGTGTTTGATACTTAAAATTGAGGCAGCAGAAACTCTGAAAATACTGAACTAAATACTATTGCTTGATGTTGAATTCAGTGATTTGTTGCTATACATGTAAAAATTATGAATAATTTATTAATTTAACTCATTTCGTTTTATAGTTATATGTGACCTTCAGAGTCCCTAAAAATGCCTTTTTTTAGCATGGTAGATCTCTGGAAGGTCATATTTTAATGTAAACAATAAACAAAGTGCTAATAGTGAATATTCTCCAAGTAATTTAGATGAAGTTACTATCCAGGACTCTGTTCCAGCTCTCAGAACTTGTTCTTTATTTTAAACTGATTGATAACTGCTTACACTACTTGGAGTAGGAAACTCCGAGTTTGCTTATGCCCTCCTGAATGCCATAAACATCAGTCCACAACATATTCCATTTGGCTGTGGTTCTTCCAAGCCCACAAATTGTGCAGCAAAGCAGTTTCAAAGCATGTCACAAATACTGTGTAGCTCGTGTGCTCTGCTGGGTTACTGGCTCTCCAGACCCAAATGCTGCCAGTTTCAGGATGGGACTGTAGACCCATCCCTCTTTTCAGCATCTTTTAGCTGGTTAAAGTGTCCCTAGAATGAGCATGCAGTTACAGCCATAAACAATTGATTCCTACCATTTGTATATAGGTAACACATTCACCTAACCAGAATTTTGAATTCACTTTCATAAATGACAAGTAACTTTTAGGTCCTGAAATGCTGAGTATCATTTCTGGATGTGATTTTTAATTGACCTCTCATTCTTCATTTCTGCGAGTAAAAGAGAAGTGTTTTATTTTCTTTCTCTGTTGAATGACATTCCTCCACCTTCCTTTTTTGAATATAGGCCTTTGACCACTGAAAATGTCTACAACTGATTCATCAGTTTACTTAAATTTGTGTGCAACTCTTTTAGACGCAAATTACAGCTGCACCTCAATCCTTGTAGCAGCTAATCCAGGCACAAGAAAGTGATCAGGAGTAGTTGGCATGGATTCACTCAGGGGAAAGTCTTACTTGACCAACTACTCTGTGATGGAATGACTGGCTTGGTAGATGAGGGGAGAGCTATACTGTCTGCCTTGGTTTCAGTAAGGTCATTGACAGTGCTCCCCAGATGACCTCTACAAACTGTTGATGGGCTGATGAGTAGACAGTAAGGTGGATCAGCTGTGTTCAGAGAGTGGTGTTCAGCTAAAGCACAAAGTGTAGTTAGAGGCCAGTAATTAGCAGTGTCCCTTAAGGATCAATACTAGATCCAAAGCTATTCAACATCTTCATTAATGATCTGGATGAAGAGGGAGAGTGCACCCTCAGAACATCTGCAGAACATTGGGAGAAATGGCAGATACACCAGAGGGTTGTGCTGCCATCCAGAGAGATTTTCTCAGGCTGGAGAAATAGGCTGACAGGAACCTCGTTCAGTGAGGGAAAATGCAAAGCCTTTCATATGGGGAGGAACAACCATAGGCACCAGGACATTTTAGGAGATCATCTTTTCAGAAAAGGACCAGGAAGTACTGGTGGATAGCAAGTAGAACATGAGCAAGGAGCGTGCCCTTGCAGCTAAGAAGGCTAATGGTATTCTTCACTGCATTAAATGAACTATTGCCAGCAGGTCAAGAGAGATGATCCTTCCACTCTAACATGTATGCTGCGTCAACAGTGCTGAGTTCCCTAGTGCAAAACTGCTGGAGAGAGCCTAGCAAAAGGCTACCAAAATTATTAAAAGACTGAAGCATCTCTCCTGTGAGGAGAGACTAAAAGATCTAGGACTATTCATTAAAGATCAGGAGAGATTTTACCAATGTCCATAATTACCTGAAGGATTGCAGAGATTTTGGAGTCACACTCTTGTCAGTGATGCCCAGTGCCAGGACAAGAGGTTCCCTCTAAACACCAGGAAGCACTTCTGTGCTGTGCAGATGATAGAACATTTGGCACAGACTTTATAAAGTGGTTGTAGAGTTCCTTCTTAGAAATCTTCAGAAACTGCCTGGACACAGTCTCAGGTAACCTATTCTGATTCTGCCCAGAGATCCCTGCCAACCTTAACCATTCTGTGATTCTGTGATCAGAAGGGATTAATCTACCTGTCCAGAGGCCTACTTTTGTCATAATTTTCTGTTGTCTTGAAATGTCAATAACCTGTACAATGTAAGTGTAAAGCACTGCAATTCTGATTGATTTCCTTTTTACAATCTTGTTTGTTGTTCTAAATAACTGCATTCGGGATAAGAGAAAACTATGCTCATGTTTGAAGGAAGTTTTCAGTAGTTTGGGGATAACTAAAACCCACTGTGTTATAACAGCAAGAGACTGTTTGTTTTGGGTACGTTTTGTTTGTTTACTTGCATTTACTGAACTTTGTAGGCTATTTTACCAATTGTAGTGGTCTTTTTCTCTCTGACTGACAGTTGGGTTAAGAATCTAATTGGAAGATACTGTGCAGATGCTAGATCAGAAAAGATTGTTCCACGCTGGGAACAGGACTATCATCTGCAGCCCATTGGAAAACTTGGATTGTTTTATGAGTATCTTGAGATGGGTAAGTAGCCATTTAGTTCCAATTTCTTGTCTGTGCTGGATACTGTGTGGGTGTGCTCTAAGGAAAATTTTCATACAAGTAATATTTAGTATGTTTAGAAACAGGAGGTATGTTAAATTTTTAAAAATCCAGTACAAGTTTTGATGAGCCGTTATAGCTTTGTGAGCTTTTATTAAGCAGCTTACTTCAGTTAAGACCTCACTTAAGACCTCACTTCAGTTTCTAGCTAAAAAACAGAGTGAGCAATTGTGGGTGTGCTGCTGCTTCATTATCCTATCATCCAAGAAGCATACCCAGAAGTGACTGGGTCTGCAGTCACTTACATGTTGCTGGTTTCCTGGTCACTGACAGAATTCTGGCTTGTTTGCCACCATCTGTTCTGCAACAGAATTGCAGCATACTTGTCACAGCACCCAGGCACCCATTACATCATTGTTAGCTCAGGCTTTGCAACACAGCACTGAGACAGATAGTCATTAGATTTCCAAGTCTACGTGGAGAAGAAATGAGAAATAAGAGAATGTTTAAATTCCATAACAGTTCCTTGTGATGTGTTGTGAGTTTTAACATTGTCCCGTCCCCTCCACCGAGAAGGTATTTCCAGTAGTGTTATGCTTATATATTCTCACACACATAAGATTCTCTGGGAACTCTGCTACTCTTTCTTGCCCCTCATTCTCTCAATTTGAGTATACAAAATCTATGCTTATCCCCATTTAAAGAACGCATCAAGGCATGTGACCTCTCCCTTTGCCAGTTATACAGTTTGGCTTTGTCACCCTGTTTGTGGCATCATTCCCCCTGGCTCCTCTTCTGGCTCTTATCAACAACATGTTGGAAATCAGGTTGGATGCGTGGAAGCTGACAACCCAGTTCAGGCGCATGGTTCCGCAGAAGGCACAAGACATCGGTGCGTGGCAGCCCATCATGCAAGGCATAGCCATTCTGGCTGTGGTGACCAATGTAAGTAGTGTGCCAGCCACTACGAAAGGTAAAATGCCTTCACTGCAAGCGTTGCATCTAAACGTGGAATGCCGTGTGTATCAATGTTTGTCATGCCAGAGTGGCTACATGAGGCACACAGATGATCCAAATTAATTACAAGTTTCAGTCCCTTGTGACATTAGCCCCTGTGAAGCAGGCTTGAGTTATTTTTCAGATGGTTTAGAAATATGGATATCGTCTAAAATATTAAGTCTAAGTAAAAGAAATTGTAGTTGGACAGAGTTACTACTGCTTTCGTTAAAAGTTATACATACAAAGACATATCTTTTCTGAGATAGTAGCACACAATAAAGAGATATTTTGAGAGTCTATAATTAAATGTATTAATTTTGAGAAAAAAAAATATGTTAGAGTTCAGCTAAGGCTTAATTGATTGTTGTTTCCAACTTACAGTTCTTCTGGTCATACCTGAGTTTAGCTCTGAGCAGTTTTGCAGTTAAAGCAGTAATTCAGCTTCTTTCTATATTTAAAAATACAGTACATGCTCAACATTATAGTACTTATCTCTTGAGATAAGAATGAATTCCTAAGAACATGCAAATGAATCCATCCTTCACTTGCAGTTAAAACCAATTTTGAAAATGATTTATTTAACATATCTAGAAAACTTTATCCTTTCCTCATGAATATACTCTTTAACAATGAAATTTATATGTTTCAAATTTCTGTATTGTTATGTCACCAAAGTCTTGTACAGGCTGCACAGTGGGAAGAAAAATATTCCAAGTAATCCATTGGACTTTATCATTCTGAGTTGTTTGATTTATTCTTAAGCAGTAACTCATATGTATTCTGTTTCTAAGTTTCTAGTGTTGTCCTTGCTCAAAGGAGCAGTGACCACAGCTTCCCTCTGCAGTAGCAGTAGCTGTCTGTAGGGATTCGTTCTGACGTAATCTGAGATGGCCACTTCCTCCAGGACCTCCTCCTTGCAGTAACAGTGCCTTGTTGCACTCATTGGGAGTTTCTGGAGAAACCTGTAAAGTCTGAAGTTCATCTCAGCCTAAGCTGTCATAGGAGTCTCTGCCCATTTTGAGGATGGTGGAATTTGGGTAAGAGGAGAGAGATGGAAATGAGCACTCTAACATATATACTACTGGGGACTTATTTCAATGAACAGAGCAATTCACATTTAAACCAGGACATTAACTTACTTTCCTGTGTCTCAGGCACCTTTTATAGTCAGTAGGTGTTCAACCACCTGTGTGGGGTCTCCACCCCTGGGATTGTACTGTTCAGAAATCATGAGACAGATACGTGTACCTCCCCTCTCCACACTCAGACAAGTTCCCCTGCGCATTGCTCTCTTTTTTCCTCCACTTTTAAATGTCTTTGTTTTGCCCTGAAAGGAAGTGGATATTTTCAAGGAGTGGGAAAGATGAGCTGCCATGGCCTGACAGCCTATTGGGCTGCCACCTTCTCAGTAGTTTGTTTTCACGGTTACTGAAGTTGGGAGTTGTGACCATGCAGAAATACGAGTGTGGGATGGATTTTAATGATTAGGAATATTTTATATGACAACTTCAGCTATCAGGCATTTGGCTGTAATTCCTTTCAAGAATTTTATCCCAAACTATAGAAATCTAACAGGCATGTTAAACATAGATAGGATGTAGAGAAGAGATTTAGGAAAACATAAAAGCAGATAAATAAACATGAAGAAGTATCAGAAGTAAAAAAATCTTGAGGATGGAAAATTTACAAAAGAATCTAGGAGGTAAATAGATAGACAACAAACTGGAGCATATGCTCCAGTGGTTTCACACAGATCTACTGAGGCACATCAAACATAAATGCAGCTGTTCCATAGGCGTGTGAAACATTCAAGGCCTACCAGCAAATGTGATGTTAAAATTTAAAATAAAAATGATGTGACTTTGGTAACACATGTTCAAATTATTAGAAATGTTGAGTGACACCTGGGATACTGCTGGGATCTTTTGGTTTTACTGTTTGTGTAAAAAAATTGTTAATGACAGCTTTCCCAGCAAATTAGGGAGATTGTGCAAACACCCAGATGTAGCATAGCTAGAGTAACATAGAGGCAAAATTACTGCTGCATTAATGTCCTCTTTTGAACTGTGCTGCTACAAAACCTGTAAAATATAAGACAAAGCTTCTGGTGTCCTAGAAGGAAGAAATAGGTAGATAGATTGATATATAATATGTATTAATTATGTATATTATATATATTATATTATAAATTGTATACTTTTTACATAAATTAAAAAATAATATATATATTATGTTATTGGGTAACCTGACAGTCTTTCCTCATCAATCCACCTAGGACTTGTAATACAACTAACTGTGAAATAGAAGACTGAATATAGATCTTAAGATTATTATAAGCATTGTTACAAGTACCTCAATCGAAGACCTTATGGTATTCAGTGCAGAGTTAAAGTTGGTGACCTTACGGTGACTCAGATGTGCAGGCTTCTGTTAGGAGTGTGTACACGACCCTGCTTTAGCTCCTGCAGAAAAGTGACCCAACGGTAGTTTTAAGTGTCTGTCACTACCCATTCACAGCCCATCTGAGGCTACTGCAAGCCTTGCAGTGTTTCCATTCCAAATTCCTGATGTGCTCCATCCCTGAAGTGATATCTCTGAAAACTCAGAGTCCTCAATGTGCACAAGTGCATTTACAGCTTGGTTTTGCTCCCTGTCCTCCTTGCCAAGCACTCAATCCCAGTGCTTATGTGACTGCTAACAGCAGGCATGTTTCTTTTCATAACCCTGTTTGGAGATCTTGTGTGTCAGATGCAGTTAATCTTAGTACGATTGTAGTGCCTTGGCCACTGACACCAGGCAGGCTGATAGCAAGGGGCACAGCAGTAGAGGCTGTGCTGAGGAGTCTCTATTGCAGGTGTTGCAAGGCGTTCAGAGATCCATATTTCTTTCTAGTGAAGTGTGGTCTCTAAAGCCATGTAATAGAGATACTGAAAACAGTTTTCTTCCATTATCTTCAAGTTTGTTTCTCGTTTCACATCCAGGATCTGGATCTAGTGTAGGCCATTAATCTTGTCTTTGTCATCCCTTTGCCATCACTATTTTTCATCAGAACATAGAAACTGTTTCTTTTCTACGTGACTCCTACAGCTGATTTGATTTGGGTAGAGTATCTTCCTCTCCTTCCCACACTGGCTTTGTAATACCTACGAGTATCTTATCAGCAACTTTTGCCAAAATATGTCCATTTTGAGACTTGCCACTCAGACACTGGACTTGCTACAGCATGATATCAAAGCATCTGTTGTGATTTAAAGACTGATTTTAGTTAGTTACAGTATAAATGGAAAACTGTGCATGGTATAGCTTGGGAAGTAGAGAGTGTGCTGTTTGTTTGTAGTTCCCCAGTACAATACTCTAAAATGCAGCCCATAATTCAAAAGGAAGAAAAGCTTTTCCTTTGAGAGGATGCCGTAGGATTAGCTTTCGTTTTTCTGTCCTTGTAGCCCTCTGGAGCACATCTGGAGATCATTCAGGGAGGGGGAGGAGTGTGAGACGGGGCTCGGATTTATGATGATGAGAGACCTGAGGCCTTGCAAAAAAATCATAAAGAGTAAACGTTAAGTTGTATAAATACTATATTCTAGCATCTTGCTGAATGATACATAGAAGCAGCATCAAACCAAATTGGTACAAAGGGAAAAGGATGTTTTTTGCCTTACTGTTCAGTTGCTTTTAGTTCTTTTATGGTCTGACTTGATGCAAACCTTATGGGCTAATAAGCAGTAAGAAATTATATTTAACTAAAACTTTCTGTGCTTATACTTCAGTTAAAAACAGTGTAATTTAAGTGTGAGGTCTTCTTCCTGAAACTGCAGGGCACAGTAATATATATTTCTTGTCAGCCAAAAACACCTACACTGCATGTAAATATAAACAACACATAATTTTCACTTCATTCCTCACTGGCACGTATTGCTTAAAAACAGTTTTTAAAAGTTCATGCCACCTACATTTTATTTAAGCCAGAATACAGTGCCAAAAAAAATCTTTTCAAAGTGTTGATCCTTGAAACTTTTAAACTCTTTTAGTGATAGGATGCTTCTCTTTTCTTTCTCATCAGCCAAATTAACGTTCTCTCAATTGAACTAAATTGCAACAACATTCTGGAGAATGAGAGAAAGATTTTGAACCACAGCCTCAAACTTAAGTCCTGTTTCTTTGTCTTATGGTGTAGCAGATCAGGAATGGGTCCAGCTGGGAACCTTGCCCACACAGGTTGTTACCATTCATGTCATTGGGTATTTTTGTCCACTGCCACAGGACTGAAGAGTTCTCCTCCAGCCATGGCATGCAAATAACCCCTAGTTCCTGGGCCCTGGGCACATGCCTGCCGTATTGAGTTGTCTGGGCAGCCTCATGCTGGGCATGAAGCGCAGTGGAAAGTCTTCCTCACGGGGAAGCCTTTTGAATTTGCAGTAGCAGAGGAGGATACTGGATTAAACATAGTAAACCTGTCCTCCGGAATAGGATGTTTGGGAAGTTCATGCATTTAGGAAAGGCTTCCTACGACAAACCCACAGATCCAATTTCCTGCTCAGTTTGTGACTAGCAGACTGAGTAGGACAGAGTAGAACAGGGCCTCTCCTGGGAGCTTGATAAAAACAAGTGGTCACGTCATATGTAAAGCAGCACTGTGCAGCTGCTACTAAAAAAGTGATCTTGGCATCAAGAGCAGTTTCCACATGTACTGACACTGAAACTCATGAGGCAACAACTGCCAGGACAAATTTGGACTGGCTGTCACCTCAGAAAGAGTGGGATGTTTCTAGGGTCAGAGCTGGATCAGCTATTTATTTATTTAATTCTTTGTATGCAAACTTCAGGCTTCCTGGTGAAATTTAATTTTCTGTTGCTGAAGGACTCTGCTGTGGTTTCCATAAGTTTCACCAGGCAGATTTTCTTCAAGCATCTCATGTGTACCTCTGATAGCAAGCGTGTTTGCTGGAGGTTATCCTAGCATGGTGCGAGGTGAGTTTGGTTGCTGACCTCCCCACCATGTTGAGGAGGATAAAAGTGTATCGCAGCACAACTTTTTTGAGGCATCCAGCAGAGCCAGTATAATTTAAAAACTAGATGGACTGCACATTCCAGAAGGAGATTGTTTGTGCCTGTGAGTGCCTCACTCACAGAGGGAACCACTGACTGGAAAAGCACATACTTTCTGTTTTTAGCTTGTACTGTAAATTTTGAGATACTAAATATATGGCAAGGCTGTGCGTAGTAAGGCTTATTTCTTAAATGCTACTCTGCTTTTTTGTCCCCTCTTTCTAAAATGCAGGCCATGATAATTGCTTTTACATCTGACATGATTCCTCGTCTGGTTTATTACTGGTCCTTTTCAGTCCCTCCTTATGGGAGCCACAGCAGTTACACCATGAAGGGGTATATAAACAATACACTCTCTGTCTTCAATATATCAGACTTCAAGAATGCAAGCAAGCCATTTTCCCCCTGGTTTGGGAACCACACGACATGCAGGCAAGTGTCAAATAACCATCCTTTCCCAGTGACAAGGGTAAATATCACTGCTTTAATATCTAAATAATCCAGATCCACTAAAAATACGCAGTAAGAAATGTTAGAACATTGTGCAAGCAGTGTAGTTTGAATGGCAGAACTGAGTGAACTATCCACCTATAAGTAATACTTACTTCATTTTGTTTTCCTCATATGCTTTAAAAGTGACTTAAGAAGGTTTATCACTGCTGCAGTTGCATTCAGCAGTCTGTTCAGGCTGTGCTAAGCCAGGACACGGCTTGCTCCATCCTCTGGCCACAGAGCCGTACTGCACATTGCTGACACTGGCTGCTGACTCTCTGCATTGCCTTCAGGTACCGTGACTTCCGCTACCCTCCTGGGCACCAGCATCAGTATGAGCATAACATATACTACTGGCACGTCATCGCAGCCAAGCTGGCTTTCATCATTGTCATGGAGGTAAGCCTGTAGGGGTTTTCAGCATAAGTGATTTAGACTCCTCTTTCTTCCCTGCAGAAAATCCTTGGAAGACATTCTGTTCAGGCACAGCTGTCAGAGCTTTTAGTACGCACTGGTGCTGGCATGGGCTCAGGAGAGGTAGATTAAGTGTAGCACTGCTAGAAAAAGTCTCTGAAGTGATGGCATCCATTGAGGATTGCCCCAGTATTTGCAGTTTCTCTTCTCAAAAACTGTTAAGTGATTTCTAGTATCAGAAAAAGAAGGGACAGTAGCACCAAACATTTTTATATGTTTTTAGAGGTTTGTGCCCTGCTTAATGAATACATGCAATGCAGCACGTGCACTGAGTGACCTGTGTAAAGTCAGTCACTGCAAGAGGTGAGTCTGTAGATGAGACTTTGGTTAAAGAGCAATTGCTCTCTCCCGTGCAGCAACAATGTGGGGTTAGGAAAGATGGGAAACAGTCCAAGATCAAAGGAAAGGAATACCAAATATTCTTTCATTATAAAATGTACTTAGTGCCTGATCCAGGGACTACTGAAGTCACAAGAAATGTGCAGCTTGCTAGAGCACAGTTCCATAGCAGAGGAATGTCTGCAGCCCTGGAGGCATTTGGACAAACCTGAAACAATTTAGAAAGATCTGTAACCAATATTTCCACAGTCTTGGGGGGAAAGGAAGCACTGAGCACCAGGGTTCCCCAGAGCAATCAGAAACGTCATTAGTAGCATCAGGATTAGAAAATCAGAAAGTTTTGTTTATCAGACAATTATTCTATTCATCTCTGCTTTTTAGGATACTGTTCCAGTGTAGTAGATACTGGTACAAAACCACAGCCTTAAGAAATAGGGTGGCATTTCAGTATTTCTCAGAATAATAATAACATCCTGTTCAACCCAACTGACATTTCTTTTCATTTGCACCTTCCCCAGCATGTCATCTACTTTGTGAAGTTTATTATTTCCTACATAATCCCGGATGTGTCACAAGAGACCAAGAGCAAGGTCAAACGAGAGAAGTACCTGACACAGAAAATCTTGCACGAGAACGACCTCAAAGTTGTGAAAAAAACCATAGGGAAAATCGCCGACAAAATTATTGAAGGAGTAGACAGCACTTTCCGGCCTAAAACTGAATAAGGACTTTTTTCTATATGGAGGAACAGTTTTTAACCAGCTAGTGCCTGCCCAGGCATTACCAATAGTTAACCAAACGCTTTGGATGAATTTGCCTTACTAAACATGGTTTCTTGCAGCTGTCACCTGCTCTGTTGCCTGTTTCTCTTAGGCAAAAGCAACCACTGAGACTCAGTTTACAATCACCCATTTTTTAAACCAGCTTTATTAGGACACATTTTAACATGTGAAGGTAAAAATTATCGTTTTAAAACGATGCTGATTAACTCTGAAATATACAGAGTGCTTTCCTTTTTATTTAGGTATAAGCTAGTAGGAACTTGAATAAAACTTTAATAACAAGAATTACTTGTTATAAGAACACCACCACTTTCTGTGAAGGAGCTTCAATTACTTGGTGATGCAAACCCCAGCTAAAAGAAGGAAAAGCCAAAACATGGAGGAAAGAGAAGGAAAATGCAAGTCGCAAGCATGTTGTTAAGCTGTTGCAATTGACTTACTGAGCACTGTTCTATGCTTTGCTGACTTAGAAGTGCATACTGAAACTTAAATGGATAAAAAGATATTTCAATTAATCGTGGGCTTGGATCACAAGAAGCAGTGGGACTGTAAGCTGTTTGCCAGCCTCTGTGTAAACAGGAGAATTGAAATCGTTGCATACAACTGACTTCACTGCACTTGGAGCAAGTGGAAAACTCAGTTATTTTCTCTTTTCCCACATCAGTGTACCTTCATTAGCTCACTTGGCCATTCTGTTCTGAATGAACACAGCCTTTAAGGTCTCCCAGCTGTAACAGTAATGAGTGTTAAAGTTCTTTTCATGAACTAAATAATTGTAGAGGGCTGTCTTTTGCCTATACCATAGGCATTCTCTTCCCTGATTTTAACACAGAAAGAATTTGCAGCTGGACCTGTTCTGGTGCAACACTGTATGACAAATTAAACGTGGACAAGACCATGAATCTATTGAAGCTGCAGATCGGAATAAACCATTTAATATGCATTTACTGTGTTACAAAACTTTAAATAATCAGGAAGATGTTACAAGTGTGGATGAACTTGCCAGAGCCATCAATCATCTTCACATTATGCTGCGGATCTGCTTGGCTGTTTTGGCCTCAGTTGCATCCTAGGAGTTCAGGAATTACAGGGTAAACGTGTATGTAGAGCTCCTACAGCAATGATGTTCCCAATTATTAACTTGCTTTCTTTTTTTAATGGCTCTTGTACACCAGTCCCTATGAATTGTGAAAGCCAAAATCTTGAAAGAAAGGCAAAAATATGTCTGCAGTCTGTAAACCAGATGATTACTGCTGGGTTTGTAATTTTGTACTCTTAAATGTCATTCATATGCACAATACTTAGGCAGATATTTGCATAGCTTTTTACATATTAAGAACGTTTGCGAAACAAAGTAGCATTGGTAAATTGTATTTTATCCCATTAATAATCAGAAGGAGTTAAACATCTGAATTTTGTAGAAAAACTTCAAAATACCTCAAGCCCATCCTTTGTAATGGCAGCATATGAACCAGAAGAGGCAACACACGAAGGGAATTATTTCAGCAGATTGCACACAAGCTTCCACTAAGCACAGCTTTGCAAAATGATTGCATAGAAGAATATGGGAGAAAAGCTTGGTTCAAAAATCAAACAAAGGTTAAAAGATGAAAGACAGAAACCCGGAGGTTCCAGAGAAGACTTACATTTCTGACAACCAGGAACTGAAGTTTGCTTTATATACTGCCTGGGAAACCTGCTGCCAAACACTACCTGAAGATGAAAAGATGCAGGACAGAAAAACAAGATCATAACCATAAACAACTACTGACCAGAGCCATGATAAAACTGGTGCTTCTTTCCACAGGAAATTGTACTCTTTGACATTTATTTTTGTTGCCAGTCAGAAGCACAACAAGTCTTTAAATTTACGAGGAATAAAATATAAATTTGGCAGATGGATAGACAAACACTCAGAAGTTTCTAAACAAGACAGGACTTCTTGTTGGAATATATCATCCCAATACCGATATGACCTTTTTCCAGAATATCAGAATGATTAAGGTTGGAAGGGACTTCTGGGTCCATCTGCCCCAGACCCTGCACAGCAGAGGCACCCAGAGCAGGGTGCTCAGGCCCACGTCCCAGCAGCTGCTGAAGGTCTCCAAGGAGGGGACCTCACAGACTCTGGGCAGCCTGTGCCAGTTCTCCATCACCCTCACAAATACAAAAAGATTTTTTCTTATGTTCAGATGGAATTTCTTGTGTTTCAGTTAGTGCTTGTTGCCTGGCTGTCACTGGGTGGTGTACCAAGCTTTTCTGTATAACAGAATTTTGTCCAGAAGACCATTTCATGGAATAGCTTTGATGAAGTACTCAGCTCCATGCAAACTCAGAGCTTCTGATTTTGGCTTCAAGTTGGTATTTCCCCATATATGAACTAGTATTTTCCTATCTGCAGCAGTGTTCGGCTGGGAAGTGCCATTTCCTTCTCCCCGTAGCGGATCACGGTGCCAAAGTGCCTTAAACACCCTCTCAGGTGCCGTGTTGGAGGGCTGGTGCTAGCAAATAGGTATCGTGTGACAAAGGCAAAAAATAAAAATCACGAAATGGGCCATCTCAGTTAATTGTTTGGTCTTAAGGAAACTTTGATTGCCCTCTTTGGCAAGTAAAGAGACAATGAATCAAAGAAATTAAGTGCCTTGCCTGAGGATACACTGTGAACAGTAGCAGAGCTTAAGACGGATTTTCAGGAGTGCCTGGTATTCTGATCCCTTTTTTCCTTCCTGTGCCTCCCAATTGCCCCTTATAACAAGCGCTGCCTGAAGGAGAGATGGCCCTGAAGGTCAGTATTAATAAATAAATAAATAAATAAATGAAAACACGCTACACCAGCAAAGTCTATTTATCTCTGACTTAGTCTCCTCTTGTAGTGGACTCCTGACCACCTGAAATTATAGAATATCCTGAGTTGGAAGGGACTCATCGAGTCCATTGCCTGGCTCCACATAGGACCACCCAAAATTCAAACCCTATGTCTGAGAGTATGGTTCAAACACCTCTTGAACTCCATCAGACTTGATGCCATGACCTGGGGAATGCTGGATGAGTTTCTAGATTACCATTTTGTTCAGATCAGGAGTGTGCTTGAAACTAGTCTTCCACTTGTCCCACCGCTTTCTGGGTGGTGGCCCACATATGGTCTCAGAGCTCATGAACTGGATTTTTATTGCCTTGAGCCAAACCAGGTGATAGATCTGAGGTATGCACATGATGGTATACTTGTCTCCGGCAGCCATTTTAGTCCACAGCCCTAAAACCAGAGCTAGTCTGCAGAGAGCAGCGAGTACTGGTGGGCATCAGCTTCTCAGCACCAACATTTTGATCAGTTATTTGCTTCCCAAGTGCCATGCTACTTGCTAGTGTAGCCATAACATCTGATCTCAGAAAACACTGCATCAGGAATTCGGTTCAATTTGCCATATACACGGTGCTTTTGACAGCACAAAGTGCCTAAACCTCTGAAGCTGTGCCATGTAAATAAGCCTCTACCTCCAACTGCTGAAACCTCCAATAAACCTCCAACAGTGAGCTCTGCAGAGGCACAGGAGCAAAGTGCATATGGGGTGGGGGCAACTGCCAACATGCTAGTGTTTTTTTCAGGACTAGGTCACTTACATAATGTTTAAAGATCTGCTTGAAGGAAAAATTAATGTTGATTTTAAACTCTAGATCAGTCTTACTATTTTTACATTTTGTACAGGTCTGTTGAAGTCAGAATGAATTTGAGTCAGTCACCATTTCATTACCTAAAAGTAAGATATGAGCAACATAAATTGCAGGCTGTTGCCACTGTTTTACTCTGCGTATGTTGATAAAATTCAGAATGGAAGAATGTATTTTTTTGTATTTTTTCTAAGAATGTTTGCTGTTAGATTCTGAACATTGCAATTTATATTTATTGTCATTAAATAAAGACTATTTTAAAATAATAACACAGTTGTTGTTGATTATCCTTGTTTGTTTTTGTACAAATGATACTGCTGCTGCCAAAGCCACATTTAAATTCTTAGAACGTCATCACTGTCTAATTTCCATATTCTCCCTCTTTTTCAATCTTTTGTCATTAAACTGTTACTGCTGCTGTAATTTATCTCCTGTTTTTCCTGCATCCTCTAGATGGAAGTCATTCCTTTCAACCCCAAGTCGATGACAAGGACCATTATGTTCTCATACAAATAAACAGTTTAGGTTTTTATACCTTTTCACTCCTGTCATGATAAGCCCTGTGTTGTGCTTCAGAGTCATCATTTATTTCTTCATCTGTATCAAGTATGTGAGATGCTCCCACCTCCAGGCAGGCCAGATGCTGTGTTCCTTATGCAGCCCAGGCAGCAAGCAGTGGTATAGCACAGCACAGCCTCCGATGTGGCAGCTGCTTCATTTTGTCTGAAACAGAGGTGACCGGCAGAGTGCAACTAAACCAACTTCCAAATCTCACTCTCTGTGTCTTCTTGTCATCTGTCTAGATCATCATCATGTCTCTTCTGCTTCTACTCCAGTTCTTCCTCCCTGTGATGCCAGCATCCGAGACATTCCTCTGCTCCTGTTCCACAGGGACACCCCTGCATCGATCTGGTTTTAAGTCAGAGCAAAACCAAAAGCAGCTTCATCACGACTGATAATAAAGAGTTATTTTTCTACAGGCAGAAGGATATAATCACAGGCCAAATCTGTATGAGGACAGTGTGTTTTTAAATCCTTATTGACAGATACATTTAAAACTCTTCAAAGAACAAGCTTGAGAATTTTGCTGATAGCTACACAGATAGCCAAAGTAGCATATTACTTCTGATGCTGCCTGCTTAGTTTCAGTTGTTTCTGTCTCAGAATGTATGAACTGCTTTTATTTTGGATAAGTGTACATGCCAGATGAAAGTGCACTGTGCTCTGCCCCGTCTGGTACACCCTGCCTGTTCACTATGCACATCACAGGAGAGTTCAGCAAAGGTATCAGCAAGGCAGGTTCACCATTTACACCAAGGCCCCCCCCCCCTTTTTTTTTTCTGTTATATTTCCATTTTTTACTGTGCATCAATAACAGATTAAAAAAGCATTGAAAAGATACAGATGTAGTTAGTCCTCCACATGGCTTGGTGCGATATTTTTTACACAAGAAAATAATGTGTCTTAATAGGCTGGAAAAAGCAATGAATATTTTCCAGGAAAACTGACAAATTAATTTCTATTTACACCTGGAAGTGCATCAAAAGAAGAGCCTTTAAAAGTTTTTTTGGTTTTTGTTTTTTTAGCACGTTTATTACATCCTCCGATACAGTTATCCTGTATAAGCAATGCTAATAACTGGGATTAAATTTACATTTTATGTCAGCAACGATGCAAAGAAATTAAATCACTTCTCTTGCTTTTAGAGCATATTAATCAATTCTGTACTTACCCCAGGCAGCTCTAGCACTGTAACTACGTAGGGTTACAGAAGTGCGTGTGAGAACACATATCTTCTGCCCTCTTTCCAAAACACACACACACATGCACACACTGACGGGTGTTTTGCCAGCTATGAAGAACTTAACTCATCACCTGCCTCGTTAAGAAAGACATTTATTTCCAGTAACAACAAAGAAAGTCTTCCATCCAGCAGTGTGAAGGTAGACCATTCTCTATAAACATGTAAGATACACCAAATGCTAAAGGGGACTAAAAAGCACACAACACAGATCATCAGAACACTGAGAAAATCCCACCAAGTTCACTGTTATAGCAAGCACCAAAAATGCACCTCTGGCATATGAAAAGAGAGCGGGGAGGGAAAAAAGTCAAATTCTTAAGTTGTGCAAGAATAAGTAAATTACATCCAACTATGACAGCGTTAACACAATATCAAGGATTTATACTTTTTTGATGCTCATGTAAGCCTCCCAAACCATTTCCCTGCTCCCGGGCAGACAACGCATGACAAGTGGATAAATAGGCTGTGCTCCCAGTCACACGCACCCGCCAGCTATCATCTTACCTTCCCGCTCTTGTGCGATCCCATTTGGACACGAGTAAGAAGTCTCCCCTTACAGCCGCATTGTGCTCATTCATGCAGTCATTCTCTAAACCAGTCTGGCAGCTCAGAGCGAGCAGAATTACACTTAAGCCCCTGTGACCAGGGCACTGCAGGATCCTCGCTTTCGGTCCGTTCCCTGCTGGAGTGGGAAGTGGTGACCGATCCCTCCCACCCAATGGGCAAGCCCCAGTGTCCACCTACAGCACCAAGGATCCATGGCTTATAGAGTTTGTCAGGTTGAGCTCACCAAGAAGTGAGCCAGGGGTTAAAGTTATTTGTCTCATGACAGATCTGCTCTTCGGGTTAGCTGGAAGGGGCACGCTGTGCCTTTAAGAGTGCTCTGTATGACTGCAGGGCTAGGCTTGGCACCTGGTTTTGGCCTGCTGAATATCCCTATTCAGGGAGAGCTATTGTGCTTTGACTTTTTGCTTCACCTTAATCCAAATGAGTTTTCAAGTTCAGACAAGCCCTCTGGTTGTTCATAACTTTAACTACATAGGACTTCATACAGGCAGCTACAAACTGGCAGAATCGGGCCCTTCACTATTGTCTTAAGCATGGTTTTGGAAAGAATACGGCACTGTTACTTTTGGGTTTGCCAAAGCAAACTGTGACCTGGCATCTGAAAAAAAGGAAGGAGACTGGGACGCGTGGCAACAACAGATGTCTGCTGTGCAGCTGGGACATGGACAAAGTCAGAAGGAGGATCTCCAGGAGGTTGTGGTAGGAGGCTGAGGCTGCAGGGCAAGGGCAGCTCCTTCCCCAGACACAGAGACCCCATTTCAGCGCTGTCAAATGCTTCAAAGCAACAACTAAGAAATTCTTTCCATATCTGCTGTTAATTAGTAACTGCTTACTTACAACTAGGAAAGGCAAACACTGGTCTGCCTCTCCTGGAGTGCCATGCTTCAGGATTAGCAACAGACTGACCTTCTGCAGCTCACGACATCTACCTATTGTATTCTCTTT